TTATAGCCGGAGTCAAATCCATGAACGGCTGTATCTTAACGTTTCTCCGTGAATAGACTTATGCACTGTCCTCGTAAATTGGGCAGTCACTCTGATCAGCTCTATGAATGAACAATAAATTTTTCTTCAATAAATTGCCAGACTTCAAGTTCTAATTGAAAGGGTCAATAAACTGTCCTCAATCGATATTTACCAAAGCAAATGGGTCAATACTTGTCATGTATTCATGCTGTTACAGCAGCAATGAAACACTACGACTGTATCCATTTAACTCGATACATAATAACTCCCCAAGTACCTGATGGTTGTGATTATCAGTTTCTTGAGGAGCACATTGACAAGTTTGCAATATAATGAGAAACGGAAAATCCCAAATGTCTGAGATGACTCCTGTAATTCCTCATGAAAAGCATGATAACTATCGCTGGTCATGGCACAAATCTGCCATCCTACTTAAAGCCTCATTTTTAGTCATGATTTGATTGCTGTTCTTAATCTGTCCATAGTACAGCATATTCCTCTTTAATTAATCCCATAAGAAAACATTAATGCAGCAAAGACTGATGAATATTAAAATACAATTAACATAGCTTCTCACTATGTAGAGCAGTGCCAACTTATCAGTGGGGAAAGGTGTTGGGTTAACTAAACAAAAACACCATTAGGCATACTTAATAGATTTACATATAGAGTCTATATATATAGACTGAAATGTATGACTCATCAGATAGACTGAATGCCCTTTTTGAGTGGTGTTCAAATATAATCTAGGATATCATGACAAATTTACGTATTTTTTTAGATAAACAGAGTGAAAAAGAAAAGTTTTTCAAATGGCAGACTTGATAAAAATTGCATTTGCCAAAAATTTATATTAATAATCATGGAGTTAGTGAAATTACAGCTGCTAAAACCAAAAGGAGTTAGTGAGGTAAATGTAGCATTTTTTCATTTCAACATTTAATTTCAAATCATAATCCAGTTGCAGATAGACTAAAGCCCATGACTTGGCGTGAGATGTTCCCAGAGACACAATCTGGTCTGGCAGGGGCTTCTACTTGCAGAGTAGCAGTGTACAGCAGCATTACGCTGGCGTTCTCCGAGGCGGTGTACATTTTCTCTTTAATGAATGTTGTTTTTGCTCTTTGTTAATGTTGCACAGGCACTTTGCCAAGTTCCTTCTGAACATGTAAGGCACCATCTGGCATAAAAGCTAACAATGGCAATCTGTTTCTACATATAGATAGCTTCATTTGATTAATGGCTCAAGTAGTTAAATGGTACAAAAGAAGCTTGACGTTTTTAATATGAAATATTTGGTCACAAGTTCGGTATGTTTAACTATTTCCTATAATGTCCCAAGCCATTGAAACACACATTGGAAGTCCAGTCATTTGGGTTGATACCTGTAAAGCATAAACATTTGGACTAGGATGAGCTGTGATGTAAAGATTTACATTTTGAAAAGCAGCAGGCAGAATGCTGGACAGACCAAGTAAAGACCCCAACATGAGAGCCTGTAAGGGCTGGCCTGCCTTGTAGGCTACATGGGTGATTGGCTAGGGTGCCATTTGATTAGGAGGCGCAAAAGAATGAGAGAAAAAAAATCTAAAGAAATACATGATATTACAGTTACTTACACTAGTTTTAATATTTCAGTATTGTTTTTGTGAAACAGATGCCATGTAGGTATTTAGCAGACATGTACCCTGTGCTACTGAAACTTTTTAAATTAAATGGATTGACAAAATTAATTTTCTACTGCTCTGGGGGGTGGGCCTGGGGTAGAGCCTCAGCAAAATTTCACCTAGGGGGGCAGAACATCTGTGTCGATGAATGTGGACTGTTTGGGGCACCTCCCATTAATGTCACACTGATGATTCTATCCCTCCACCTACCTCTCACGGAGCAAGGAGCCTGAGAGTCCTGCTGTACCAGCCTGCCATTACACAAGCATACTATCTCATTAATGACTACCTGTGCACTCTCAGTGCGCTTCCGTATTTATATTATGACATTAGAGGGACGATTTGGCAAAACCTCACTTTACTGCTGGCAGTATGGGACGCAGCAAGATGGACACCCCAGCTTATCTGTCATCAGCAGAAGCAGGGTGACAGAATCTGATTATCAGGTGGCTAATAGGACAGAACACCAGCCATTAAAATATATACATATGGGATTAACTACAAGGCAATGTCAATAAAATCCAATTTGGAAATAAATGAAAGATTACCAACCTGGGTCCATGATACCCTGGAGGTTTGGCACAAGGGGTCCACAGCAATAAACAGCAAATCAACAAAATGTCAGTATAATCATTTGGTTTTACAGTAGGTATTCAAGAGTAGCCCCCTCCCCCAAAGCAGCAGGGGTCCCGAGCTCCAAATATGTGATGTGAGTGAGGAGGGACTATAACAACACGTCCATTGTATTTTTACTTTCGTTGAGGACAAACACCTTTTCAGCCCTTGTGAAAGGCTCAAACAGCAGAATATCTTCCTCTCAGCCATCAGCCTCGCAGAAGTGTTCCTGTAGCCTTTGAATTGTCCATGCCAGAAGGTCGTTAATGTAACAAAGGGCATACTCCTGTGTTACAGCTGGGGGTAAAATGACACCAAAATTACTCTGGCCTCGCTATTACTTCCCTGTTTCCATTGCCTAGCAAAAGGTTTCAGTTGCTATTTATTGCATTTATAATCAATTTTACAATACTTAAATTTAAGCTCAAATTGTAAATGAGACAGTAAAAAACCAAGGTCCCGTCACTTAAAATGTCCTGACCTCTATTTTCACTGCATGTTTTCAGCAAGCTCTTCTGTTCTGCATTACTGAAAATATTAAGATCAAAAGAAATAATCTGTGTTCAGCCATATTTCATTAGAGCATTTTTAAAGTCATTATGTCATCATGCCTCCCAGTCCTACTGAATCTATTAAATCATCCTCTAGGCCAATATCCAAAACAACATGCAAGAGCTACTGAATAAGATGTGCACTCCTTTTACGAAGGAATCAGACTGCTAATAGTCTGCATGGCAATTAACAATCCAATGGAACCAAGAGCCAACAGGATGACTTAAGCCCTTGTTTTGCCTTTTGCCCGTTTAAAAGTCTTTAGAAACCATCAAACTGAGAGATTGTCAGGATATGCTTCGAAGAGACCCAGCAATCCTGTTCTGTGAAGGGGTAAAGCTTTCCTATCCTGGCAAGAGAATGGACGTGTTGTACTGTAAGCCACTTATCTGCTGGTTGCCATGGAGAAGGTGAGGAAGGACAGAGTCGGTCGGAAAGCCCATATCCACGAGGCTGTCGGAACCAAATTGCAATTTGTAATGCAGTACGGATGAGAGGGACTGCTTGGGGCACTCAGCCCCCACAGCAGCAAATGGAAGATCTTCTCTCATCTCTGTGTCATTCTGGAGACCTCCAGGGGGGTGGCACTAGACTAACTTATCTGCCAAGGAACGATTTGAATGTGTTGCCCGGCACACGTGTCAAATGGAATATCCTCGGCTCAAACCAGTCTTAACTCTTAACAAAATGATCAAAAAATGATTATCGTAGGGAGTAGTGTTAAGATGACTATCCTGTGGTGGTAATAGCTAAATTAAAACAAATCACATATATATATTATCAAGCAGCTTGCCAAGAAGTTTGTGAGGACATACAAGTCACAGGTGTGAATTTACACAAATTTATTCACTAAACATAAGGCAACAAAGCACCACATTACCTAGACGAAAAGTCTGCAATATAATAAAGAATTTCAGTTTCATCGGCTCTCTTTTGTAAGCCAAGTGATGTGACCAGACTGTTAAAGAATGGAAGGCAGCAGGGTAGGGAGGGATGCTGGATACAGCCTCCTGTCGTGTTCCAGCTCAAACAGCTGTCAGTGGAGAAGGTGTCCAGCTGAGCAGCCCCACCCCATGTGCAGCTGGAAGATGATGGCTTCTCCCTGAGGATAAAAGCCCCTTTGGAGCGTGTGATATTCAATTATTACAGGCACCAGTCTTCATGAGGTTAGGCTTGTTTACTCATCTCCTCCCCTTCTATGACAGACACTGGAAACACCTGAGTGGCGGGGGGAGGTGTGTGGTGTGAATTATGTTTATATTACATTATGGGGACCAGATGTCCATCACAATGTAATAAAAACTGGTTATTTTGACATTGTGGGGACCGTTTTTTCAGGTCTTCACAAAGAACTGTGAAAGCAATCAAAAACAAAACATGTATTTTGTTTGGTTACTTATGGGTAAGGTTAAGGCTGGGTAGGGGTTAAGGTCAACATGTTGGGATTAGAGTTTTCCCCATAGAAATTAATGGAGAGTCCCCACAAAGATATAATTACAAACCTGTGTGTGTGTGAGTGAAGATGGGGGGGGGGGGAGTTTTCTTCCCCCACGGTGCTCAGCGGAGCGAGGCGTCTTAAGACAACACGCTGTTCCGTGATTGTGTGTTTGTTCACCGCAACCTGAAACACTGCTGTAAACAGCTTTAGAAATCATATGACTATTCTTAAAATATCAAGACAGCCAGACAAAAATACATAAAAAAAAAATTGGATTACTGCGGAGCACAATGACGAAAGAAAATGTCTTGATTTCTGTATCTGTATACTTTCTTGTATTATAACTTAAGCATATTTGAATTATTTTTACAAAGATACATTTATAATAGTGTAAAATGGTGGAAATGTAATGTCACTGAATTTATAGGTGATTAAATGGGCTTTCACAGTGTGGAATTTGCTTCACTAGATGAATTTAATGTCTTCCAATAAATGCTACTTTGCAGATACTGTTTCTATAAAATTTCACACAGAACTCTGTTTGATGTTGTGCTTGGCCGTTTTCTGGAATTTTCCTTCAGCTGACAGTGTCGTGCATCGCTGCAGCTCTTACTCTCTTTGTGCTGAGATAATGAAATGAAGCACCCAAGGCAGGGAAGGGGCTTATTCTGTTACTCCCCTGACCGCAGTACTAAGTGTAGCTGCAATGGCAATAAAACTCGTTTATTTCATAACGATGTACATTCTGTAAAAAAGTACTTACATGTAATACATTTCTGCAAAATACAACTTGACATTTAATCAAATATAAAATTATAAAACTTGTTAAATCTATATGCATCCTATTGTGAAGGTAAAGATGAAAAATGGTTGGATTTGACAATTCTTCTCTCGCGCTCTCTCTCTTTTTTTAATAAAATAACTATTATGGGTAACATTTGAGCCCAGTATAATAATTTCAGTGTACACCAGCATACACAGTCAGAATGACAGCTTGCTGTAAGCATAATCATGTTCATCTGAGACCTGCAAAAGGCATTTGTCTATTTTGTCTGTAAATTCATATGTAGTACATGGCAGAGCCTCAGACAGTGAGATGGCAGTGAATCAAAACACATCATTTAAAGGAGATCAGTCACCAAAAACTAAAAGAATGATACCTGGTAACAATAAAACCATGATTTCGGTATGAATATATTTATCTTTTTCTTTACCTTTAAAACATTTAAGTAAAATAAAGATGGCACATACAGTTTACACATTAAAAATGATTTAAAAAAAAGCATCTGTATAGTGAAACTATTAACATTTTATGGACAAACCTTAAAAGTATCATCACTGTGAAAAGGGGGAAAAAGTTTAGTAAATAATATGAGTTACAGAAGATGTACTATAAATATACTGTAACTAAATTACAGATACAAACTTTATGGTTATCTGGAGATAAACAGATATAAAAGTGAGCTTTATTTTGAAATAATACCAGGAGACAGACAGTTTATACATCTTTCTGCAATAGTGATGTTTGACTTATAGTGTATAAGGTTGGGCATCCAGCAGCGTCTCTGTAATATATATATATTTATATATAGTGCAGTGTTTATGCTTCTTCATATAAAAGGTACAAACAGCAAGTCCATCCTTCTGAGCACACAGGCCAAACCAGGAGGTAATGCACATGAAATCAAACCCAGGGGGCAGCACTTGGAAAACTCGGCTGTTTCTCTCCCCCTTTCGTTTGCACATCTGTACAGAGAGTATAAAAGCGGGGCTTCGGTTATGCTGCCGTTTCCCGAATCGTCCCCTCCAGCTTCTTTGGAAGTAGCTCTCGCCGCTCGTCGATGCCGATTGCCGGTTTCCGGCAGTTCTGTCCGTCAAGGTAGATCTTTGCGTATATTGGATTGGAGTAGTTAACAGACTGCAATGGGATGACAATCGAGTTAGGCCGATTTTCTAAAGTATGATCCCTTTCCTTCAGACCTGAAAGAACCTGGATTTCACCTGCTCCTAACCGCCATTCATGTCATGGGAGCATTATGGAGAAGACCTTGAGATCCCATAAGGTGATCAAAGGCTAGTTCAAGGTTCAACACATGTTTTTATCAAACCATCATGCCTTCTGCACATACAAGATGAAGGCTCGATCGCTGATTAAGAGCGAAGGCTTGATATGTTCAGACTGAGTTGGCTTTCATCAATCACTCTAGTTTTCATTGAGTCTCTAAATGTGATCTTCTTTGATGGAAGACCATAATAAAGACATCAATGCATTCCCTATTACTCAAAGTAACAATCAATATCAAATCACTGATGATTATATAGCAGCAGATCAACTCATATTTCTTCTGGATTTCAGACAAAACCCACAGTGTCGGCAAACATAAAAACCAGACAAGGAAAAAACAAATACGACCCCTGGTAAATTACAATACAGAGCTGTGAACTCTTGCACCCTTCTGCAAGGTAACATGACATTCAATAACACAAGATACTTTCATATCCCTTGTAGGGGGTCATCAGTAGTTTCCTTGCATCTTTGAGGTAATGATTTTTGAAACAGGGTCTGGGCAAGTTCCTTATTAAGAGCATGTCTGAGTCAGTGTCTGGCTGTGAAGGTCTGTATGTTAGAAAAGCTTTGACTGTCAGAGCGAAAGGGAACATGAATTGAATCATTATGGTGTCAAAGGAGATATGTTCTGAAGAATGCAGCATCAAATTACCAGGCAGATATTGTACCTGGTGTGCAGCACTCGTGTTGCATTAAGAGTAGGGTCTCAGAGCATTTATGTTACAGACTCTCCAAAAAGCTTTGCGGTCTGTCACATTTTCATTCATCTGGAGCTGGTCTGACCAGAAAAAAATCCGTGTAGCTTTATGGTAACACTATAACCCCATGTGTGCTGGAAGTAATTGGAAAATGAAGCATGTAACTGGAAGGTTGCATGTTCCAGTTCCAATGTGGCACACCATGGGGGAGTAAAATGACTTGACATGTCTCCGTATTCATAAAACCTACATAATGTTGTATTAAATGTGACATGGACTGCTATAAGCTGGAATGGCGGCTGTCATAAGACCTGTAGTAACTGTTACAAGCTGTTATGGCAACTGTCATGATACCTACAGTGACTGCTATAAGCTGTAATGGTAGCTGTCATAACACCTGCAATAACTGTATAACTGCTATAAGCTGTAATGGTAGAATGTATTGTTAACACCTGCATCAACTGGTATAAGCTGTAACCGTACAATAATGACACCTGCAGTAACTGCTATAAGCTGTAAAGGCAGCTGTCATAACACCTGCAGCGACTGCTATAAGCTGCAATAGTAGAATGATAACACCTGCAGTGACTGCTATAAGCTGTAATGGCAGCTGTCATAACACCCATAGTGACTGCTACAAGCTGTAATGGCAGCTGTCATAACACCGGCAGTTACTGCTATAAGCTGTAATGGCAGCTGTCGTAACACCCGTAGTGACTGCTACAAGCTGTATTGGTAGCATGATAACACCTGCAGTGACTGCTATTAGTTGTAATGGCAGCTGTCATAACACCGGCAGTGACTGCTATAAGCTGTAACGGCAGCTGTCATAATATCTGCAATGACTGCTTTTAGTTGTAGTGACAGCTGTCATAACACCAGCAGTGACTGCTATAAGCTATAATGGTAGAATATAATGTTAACACCTGCAGTGACTGCTATTAGTTATAATGGCAGCTGTCATAACACCTGTAGTGACTGCTACAAGCTGTAATGGCAGCTGTCATAACACCTGCAGCGACTGCTATAAGCTGTAATGCCAGCTGGCAAAACACCTGCAGTGACTGCTATAAGCTGTAATGGCAGCTGGCATAACACCTGCAGTGACTGCTATAAGCTGTAATGGTAGCACGATAACACCTGCAGTGACTGCGATAAACTGTAATGGTAGCACGATAACACCTGCAATGACTGCGATAAACTGTAATGGTAGCACGATAACACCTGCAATGACTGCGATANTGACTGCGATAAACTGTAATGGTAGCACGATAACACCTGCAATGACTGCGATAAACTGTAATGGTAGCACGATAACACCTGCAATGACTGCGATAGCCTGCAGTGGCAGCTGTTTTAACACCTCCAGTGACTGCTATACCATGTAGTGGCAGGTATCCAGCACTGATCTTGAACATGATGGTATGGCTGATAAATGGATGGTGAGTTAGGGTTTGGGTGATGCTCATTACCTGTCCAGGGATAATTTCCTTCGGCACAGAGTGAACCGCTATGTTGCGAGGGTCACTGGATCTCACACACCAACCCTACAACAAAGAAGGGGACACTGTCAAAAAATGCCACGTTTCCCCAGAATCACATGGATTCCCCACTTTCAACTGGTTTCTGACTGCATCGCTTACCCTGAGTTAATAAATTCGATATACAGGGCAGTAAAATTACTCTATTTAAACAACTATTAATCTGTGGTTGCAAAGGGATAAATGACTGATAAAGAACACAGTGAAAGTACCAATCACACAGGTACCTGAATTGGTCCATTTTAAACACTCAGCTTTTAAAACGTGCCTTGTGCCTTTGGATGAAGGCTGTCAGCTGATTTGGCTGTTAGCAGTAATATGGGTTACAGATTGTCAAATCAGACACATTGTCATCGGCAGCTATGCCCCTGAGGGATCGACAAATGTAAATGTGCATCTTCTGGTGTTAGCAAGCCTCTTTTCTATTTTGGCATAAAGTATATCAAGACAGCTCCATCAAATAGTTCCTGAAAGATGGCTCCTGGGGCCCAGTGATGAGGTGCCTTCACTGTGGTGGGCTGCGGTGTGTGAGGAGTCTGAGGCTGCTCAGACCCCAGGCCTGTCTGGTCCACTGGAAGAAAGCTGCAAACAGACTGGAGGGCAGACTGCCTGGCTAAAAGGAGTCTGTCAACATGCCTCATCCATATTCCCACTGTTGGAATGCCATGTAACTGTATTCCCAGGGTCAGTATGCCATCCAACAGCATGTCCACTATCAGAATGCCAGCCAATCATATTTCCATTGTCTGAATACCAGCCAAACACATTCCCATTGTCAGAATGCCATCCAACCATATTTCCACTGTTGGAATGTCATGTGATTGTAGTCCCAGAGTCGGAATGCCATCTGACAGCATTCCCACTGTTGGAATGTCAGTCTACCGCATACATACTTACTTTGGAATGCCATCTGACCGTATTCCTACTGTCAGAACGCCATCCAACCACATTCCCACTGTCAGAATGCCATCTGATAGCATTCCTACTGCTGGAATGTCAGCCTATCTTATTCCCACTGTCTGAATACCAGCCTACCATATTCCCACTGTCAGCATGCCACCTGACCATATTCCCACTGTTGGAATGTCACCCGATCTCATTCCCATGTGTTGGAATCCCATATAACCATATTCCCACTGTCAGCATGCTACTCAACAGCATTCCCGCTGTTGGGATATTATTCAACCACAATTTCACTGTTGGAATGCCACCTGACCGCATTCGCACTGTCAAAGTGCCAGTGCAGTGAGCCATAATGGAATCTTTTTAATCATTAATGTAATATCCACAAAAAGTATATATTGAGAGCTTTGGTAAGTCATTGTTCTCTTTGGCAATGTTACACATACAAAACAGGTTTGAAAAAGAAAGAATCCATAAATCTGCAGAAACAGATCCTAGGCTGACCAATGCAGTTCCAAAAAATTGTAAATTCCTGGAGCTTCATTAGCATTTACAACTAAATGAATTAAATTGGTCAAGCAACAGCATTCTTATTCGATCCTCCACCCTAAATGGGGCTGTAGCAGAATTTGGACAGTGTTTGGAATAGCTAACAAAATCTGTTTATTTATAGAGCCAGAGTTTTAAATGCTCAGGATATTATTTCAGGTTCCTTGTAGGCTGACATTCAGGAGACAGACCTTATGTGGGTCCAAGGTAAAGTTGGGGTGCAGCAGGTTCCCGGCCTCCACGTGGTTGTCATGTCCCACCTCATACATGTTGTAGGAAGGGTTGCCGATCTCCACGTTGATGCCCCCGTTGGTCATGGGCTGCCGCTGCACTTGCTTGCCTCTGGGAAATGGAAACATGAATTGGAGGGAGATATTATGGGATTGTTAGATTCCTCAATCTGAGTCCTGTGTCAGGGTCCCCACCTTACCTCTGCCTCCGCTTGCAGATCAGGACCCCGACCACGACAGAGCCAATCAGAGCCGCAAGCAGCACCAGAGGGACGATGATGGCTATGCTTCCTGGAAAGAAGGTGGAACAGACAACCATCACGTCTAACTCTTTACTATCCACTTTGATGTTCAGCTGTGCTGAGCTTTTAAAAAACGTATTACTGTTTTCCAAAGGTTTAGTTATAGTGTTCAAAAAAAAGAATTTTGGTAAATTATTATTTTTTCTTTTTTTAAATGAATAAAGTTGTATTCTTCCCATCTGCCTTGTGTGTTTTTCTTCTCATGGAGGCAACAGCACAAAGTTCAAATTACTGGAGTTTCCCTCCATCCACGAGATGCTGCTGTCTACAGCTGACCTTTGGAGATGCAAAATATATGTGATTTACAATAGCAAGTGTCTTGCATGTGTGGTCCCCGATGGAAGCCCAATGACAGAGTCCCAGTAATTTCACCTCCAGCAGATATAAACTTGCCCGGTGTGCAAGAGGCGGGCCTCACAAACGGCGATACCGAAAATGTCAAATCAATTCCGTCTGTCAGGATGAAAAACTGGAAAACCCGACGAGTACGAAATGGATCACAAAAAGCAGAGCTGGCCAGGGTTATGAAGATCTCTAAAGATCGCTGGGTGTACAAGCAGGCAGGAAAGAGAGGATCACGGGATACTTACGCCCGCTAGAGTTGTCAGATCGGCTGCTCTTGGGTGCCGGCCTCTCACACTGTGTGCCTGACCAGTAGGAGGAGCACCTACGAGACAGAGGAGGTCAGGAGAAGCATGATCAGTTGCTAACAAGGCTGACAGTAGCCATAAACGGAGCACTGATGATCTGAAAGGCAGAATGGAGAAGCAGTGGTCAGCCTGACAGGTGATGTGGGACGAGATACATTAATATTTGGGGAGGGATGAGGGCGGAGCCAGGATAGGGAGCAATGGACTGGAGTTGGGTGAGGCAGCTGAGGGTGGGGCGAGACCTACTTGCACCGGGGCTTGTTAAAAGCAGTTAGGGTGCAGATCCCCCCGTTCTGACAGTAGTAATCGCACGGGTTGGCCCTCTCATCGCAGCGCTGGCTTCTGAAGCCCGCCGTGCAGCTGGGATAGAGTGCAGCAAGCCATTAGAACCAGAACCAGAAACAGAAACAACAACAACTAAGCAAGAGTAACAGCAGCAAAGAAGAGAAGCAGCGATGTGTTCCCACAATCTGCCGCACCGGGAGGCCTATCCGCCATGCCACCGCGCCTGCAGAGTGGCAACAAAGAGCGCCGCCACTGGTGAGGGGGCGCCATGACACATGTCAGGAAAACAGGTACGATATGTAAACAACCACGACAGACACAGATAGAGATACACAGAGGAATTTACCTGCTTTTCTGGTTTGAAGTTTCAGATCAATCCACACGCCAGCTATCTGAGTGGATTTTTACTTTACAGTGACATTAAAGATAATTCTAGTTACTGATGTGACATTTCATACCCTGAGACAAGCAGCCTCCCCTTTGGACAAACTCACAATGCTTTCTTATTATTGGTAGAAGGGTCTGTGCTATTCTAACACTTTGAAAAGTTTCACTTTAAAATTAAACTTTCCTCTATTCCCCTTTATTCCATTCATCCATCTTTCATAACCTCTTATCCAATCCAGGGTTGTACTGTGCCTGGGGCCTAACCCAGAAAGCTCAGGGTAGGACATACACACACACACACACACACACACACACACACACACACACACACACTTGTATTCATATCTTTGGGACCGTCCATTCATTTATATGGGAAAAATTCCAATCCCAACAATGACAAACATAACCCCTACCCAGCTTTAACCTTAATCATACGTAACCAAACAAAAAACTGGACTTTTGGCAATTCTACTTTTTTTTTTTTTATTGCAGACAGTGCAATAAAAAGGTGGTCCCCACTACATCAAGCAGCAGGTTTTTATCACATTGTGGGGACATTTAGTCCACACAATGTAATATATACTTGATCCACACACACATGCACGCACGCCCACACACCATCCATCTGTTTCCTACAGTTATGACCTGTAACATGTCGACCATTCAGTTTCTCCTATAGAAAATGAGCGACTCGCAGCATCATATGAGCATTTCTGAGACGCCAGCAGTCCTGGGCTTCTGGGGCTATCTCCGGTTACATACTTGGCACGGCCTCTCGCTGGGCTCAGATAGCCTCGAACAAGCTAGACGGCTCTATTTGCATACAAATTGATTAGACCCTCAAAGCTGTGGTACTAATTTACAGGCAGCAAACAAGCGAAACACAAACACGCAAAGCCACACACAAACACACAGCCCAAGATTCCCAGCGAGTCCTGACTGCAGTACAACTCCATAGAGCCCTATTAAGTCACAAAAAATACAACATCCTATAATCCAGAGTCAGGCCTGCGCTTGCAGGTGAAGCACATGATTCGCAATGAATGAGCAAAGACTGAGGGGAGAATGGATTTGGTGCCCCCACCCCCTGATAATCAGCGTAAAGATGCCCCCCCCCCCTTCCCTTGTCATTCTGTAGACTTTTCTTGTGACTTTTTTCAGTTAACTTACAAGACTGGATCTACGCCAGTGTTTGCAACCAATTAACAAGAGGCGCAATTAATGGGTCCCCCCCCCTGATTAACCTCTTGTCATGGTGACAGCTTAACAGGTGACCCTGTCACCCTGCTGCACGGTGCCACCTGTGACCTTGGCCGCATTAGTGCGTGTGCTAATTTAGCAGGAGCACAGGTGCAGCTTGGTCCTGATGGTCTGAGAGGGCCAGACCAGCAAGCTGATACCAATAAGAACAAGATTCACAGGAACAAACAGAAAGGCTGCCCAGCATTCATTGTGAAACCAGAGCTGGGTAAGCGCTTCACTGGCTTCACAGATCCTGACTGTACAGTGATAGAAACCCCCCCCCACCTCGTTACTGCCCACTGAGGGGGGGGGGGAGGGCTGCCACCCAACCGTTCTTCCAGTATGCTAAATCCGCCCCTTCCTTCTGCTGCACTGACTTCAGCTCCTGCATACTGATCTTACAGGGATTTCCCAGCATCCAGATCACTGAAATCCACCGTGATCTGGCAATCTGTGCCCAGGCCCACTTTTTCAAAGGGACAATAGGGGAAGTTGTCTGAGTCCTAGGTCCAAGCCCCAAAGGGGCAAGAGAGAGTGCAGGTGGGAGGGGTTGTATGTCATGGGGGTTCAGGTGAAGTAATTTTGTCCAGGTTGGGAATTTTGTGCAGTGAGCCTGTCTGTGAATATGGTATCATGCTGTTTCAGGGAGCGATTCGGTGCCAATATTTAAAATGAACCGGATCCTAACTGAGAGCGGGGGGAAGCGGGGTGGGGGGTGGACAACATGGCGGTGACTCACTGGCAGAAGGGCAGGTTGGAGTCTGAGTCGAGGTGACACGTGCCACCGTTGTAGCAGTATCCGTCACACAGCTGGCAGCTTGGTGCCACCCGGCCGTTGGTGCAGCTGTGGAGAGAAAACATGAAGTACAGCGGCAAACTCATGGCGCGGGCGAGAGGGCGTGCAGCCGGACGGCGTTTGATACAGGCATTCATGCCGCTTTGTGAGGCTGCTGCAGTCACACTATTTAATCTTCTCTGTAGAAAGAAAAATGGACAACAGATGCAGAAATCAGCAAAAAAAAAAAAGATTAAAAAATCTCATGGAATCATCCAGTGAAATGGGAAAATTCCAAGAATACCTGCGGTATTTCTGTACAGTTTATCTACCGGGAAGCAGCTGCACATGTGAATCCCTGCCCCATAAAGGTGCTTCGCACTTTTTATTAGTGAACAGGAAAGACAACACAAACAGAGAATGAGTGAGATGTTCCTGAAGCCTCCAAAGAACTTACTTGCAGACCACGTCTCCACTATCTTGATCGAGCACACAGGGGGCACCACGGCATCGCTGACACTTATCCACATCGCACTTGCTGCCCTCGTAGCGTGCAGGACACACACACTCGACGTGGCCACTGCTGGACAGCGTGCAGGCCTTGGCGTTCACGCAGTAATGGTGGCAGATGTCTGAGGGATACACAGCATAAAAAAGGGTGCTTTTCCCATCTTGGGTGTGTACTGGCATCTCCATCACAGAGCAGCTAATTGTACAACAAAAAGGTCTTTACTGGGCTTACATTAATAAAATGAAATACAGGACTTTTACTCTATGGAATGTCTGATCGTGTTTGGTTAAGATGCAGTTTGTGGCAGTGCATTGTGGGATTTGTAGTCCCTCTCTGCGTCCAGGCAGGTGGGTGGGAGGACTCACGGTGCAGACAGCGGTCGCCGGTGTACTCAGCCATGCAGCGGCACATGGGCTGGTTGCCCTTGCTGACATCACAGGTGCCCCCGTTGAGGCAGTAATTATCGCAGACACGCCGCTCGCAGTATGCGCCTGTGAATCCCACCACGCAGCGGCAGGTGGACCGCCCTGGGGGGGAGACAAAGATCTCATGGACAAGCTGGTCCCTGATAACCTCATCTAGAACACACCTCCTGCATGCAAATGTCAGGTATGAGAGCCAGACACATGCTATGGATCCTCAGAATTTTGCAAAAGACATACTTGTCTATTCTATTTTCTTTAGCAAAGACCCTCTTAGTCTGCTCTAGCCAGGGGAGAAATTAATGCCCAAGCCGTCCCAGGCTATAGCCGAGGGGCCCCTCAAACATCAGGTCCCCTTCCCTGCCCCTACAAAAATGAAGTGGCTAGTTAAATCGGCAACACATGAGTGTCCGTGCTAATGTCAACTTAGGGCCCCCAGAGAAGTTAATTTGCCCCTGACTACAGACGTAGACTTTCAGAAGCCTACAGATAAAGGCTCTCTAGTTGGTCATCATTCTGAAAGCCCTCAGAGACATTCGATGACATGCACTGTAGCCACCTCCAGTACTGGTGCAGGTACTGTGACTTCCAGCAGAAGTGTGAATCCTGGCTTTAAGGGCCCATATGCTAATGGCTGAGACCCTGTGATCTGCTTTCTGTAGTCCAGCTGTTCCCAGCTGGTGCTGGGAAGCTCTCATACCTTGCTGGGAATTATGTGCATGTTAATGAGGTCTTCGGTATGCCCTCCCACCCGCCAGCCTGTGCTGGTCCGACTCTGCGCACCATTTGCATCATCCTGGCCAGCCTCCAGGCCGTGGTACAAGGCTAGCTCCACTACACTGGCTCACCACGGATACGCCTTGGCTTCGAGAGGGCCTGGGGGTGGCTCATGATCAGCCGACACCCTGCCAAAGGCCATGGGGGGCAAGAGCAAGCTGGGTTCCTCAATTTGTGCAGGTTAACCCATATCTCCTCTCTGCTTCTCACACAAAAAAGCAGGCTCCTGCACATTGTTTACCAGGAAGTAGTACCTCGCCCAAGGACACAGCAGTAGGGCTATTTGTAGAGTTACAAGGCTTATTATTTAACGCAATTCACTTGTTACATGGATGTTTGGTTATATAATTACATTACTTCAGCATAAACAGCACTGCTGTGTACTACAGCTACTTTAACTTGATAAATCATAATAACCTTGCTGACAAACACTTGAACTGTGCCCAAGAGACCCAAGGTGAAATAAAGGTTAAATGCATTTTTACTTAAAATGAGGCTGTGAAAATCCAGAGCTGATATGATTCAACAGACAAGTGTCTCAGTGGGTAGTAGAGTCGCCTTACACCGTCGGGACTGGGGGGGGGGGGGGTTCCTAAAGGGACAATGACCTATTTGGGAAGCACGTGTCAGGCATTAATGCCCACTGTCAATCTGCTGCTGAGAGCAGTTTCCACTATGCAATGAGAAAAGGCAAGTAGCTTGACCATGCTCGCTGGCGGGAAACTTTGTTTTCAATAAGACCGTTCATCTGTGATGTGGCAGAAGATGGCAGTGAATGCTGACACTCAGGACAAAATGGGATTGACTATCAATCTCTGTTTAGAAGGCAGCTTCCCAGAGCAGCTGTCTGGACCTGGCTGGCCCTGGATGCTTTGTGAGAAAATGGGTGTTAGGGCTGTTTCAGCATCTCCTAAATAAGGAACATGTTTATTTAATATTGAATGTTGCCAAACACAGCCACAGGGTGGTGCTAAAGAGGCGGAGCCAATCTGGGGGCCTTACCTAGGGGGGAGCCAATGCAGGTGCCTCCATTGAGGCAGAAGTCCTTGCAGTGGTTGACCTCACATCGCTCCCCAGAGAAGCTCGGCCAGCAGTAGCAGCGGGACACGCCCTTCTCGTTGGTCAGGCACCGTCCCCCGTTCTCGCAAGCTGGCCTGCAGAGCTCACCTGCAACATAAAGCTGCGTCTCATTGGCTGCCCACTCTATCCGTCAAATCCACATTACAGCCTTTTTTTTTACAAAAGCTCGACAGGGACGCTTTCATCTGAGATTACTGATGGGATTCATCCCATAATTTATCAAAGGCATCCCTCGCGTTATCTTGTGGAGAAAACAGAAGCAATTGTCGGAAAAAAAAATTTAGCGTAAATTTTAGATTTAAAAATGATAAATAAGCCTTCAAGCCCTGATACCCATGAAGAAAGCCGATACACCGAGGAGAATTTAATGTCCCACATTTCCATTTTACTGCTAAGTGGACGCTTTTTATCCAAAGTGACTTCCCACTCCGATTAAGTGCCTCCGTATGGGGCATTATGGCAGGACCTCTACCACAGTTCAACCTGCAGCCCCAGCTTGGGTTTTTACTCAAAGTGAGTTGTAATCCACACATTGTGACTGTGAACACAATTGTATATGAGCAGTTTAGGTCACGCCTGTCCCGCATCTCCATACATCTCATTTCTCCGTGACGACACCCCCCAGGCCCAGTACCTGAGACATCGGTGTCACCGCAGGACCCATTAATGACAGCCTTCCCCTCGGGGCAGGAGCAGGTCGCGCCGGTCGGGGACAGCAAGCACAGGAAGTCGCAGCTCATGCTCAGACATGGGTTTGACACTGATGTGGGGGGATACAAAGACCACTCTGATGCTTGATGTACACGATAACACACACACCCCCCTCTGGGGTAGTCATGCCTGGTTCTGGCCTTTGCTTAACCTCCCTCTGAAGGAGATAGAGTCATTTCATGGATGAAAATCATTTCACCTCATCCACAACACCGAAGATGACACCCACTAACCAGACAGACCAAGATCGATTTTCTATAAGGGTTCTTAGACACCAGGGAATGATGTGGAGGTACCATGCTGTGGAAGGGCGCTCTCTCTCTTCATAGGCTCCATTTTTAACTCTGAAGGACCCACTGTCAAATTCGGCAGTAATCTTTGCGTGGTTTGGCTTTAATTAACAGCCATCGTGGGCGTAACTGATTAAATACTGTCTTATCTAGCAGTATCGGGGGAAAGAAAAGGAGTCTTATTCTGCGGGAGCACTAGGAGGAGCTGTTAAGTCACAGCAAAGTCACAAAGAAGAAAAAAATTAAACAGGGAAAAAACAACAAAAGGATCCGGAGACAATGATAAGAGCTTACATAACGCCCCTGGGGGGGACACGCACTTTCATGCAAGCAGGCACATAAGGTTTCCTGACCTCCCCCCAGTACCAGGAGTTTGTTGAAGGCTTTTAGCTCTGTTTACTTCTGGGTAATTTTTTTAAAATTATTTTCTTACAATCTGACAACATTTTTTGCCAGTCTGGTAAGAGCCAAGAGAAAGTTGTGTTGGATTCCCTCATTAGCAGACCGGGAAATCAGAGAGGGCCTTGTTCGGCTGAAGACACCCATCCAGAGGCACGAGGGGGAATCAGTTGGCGCCCCACCGTGAATGGCCTCCTGTCTCACGCTGGCTGCCTCACGGCCGCCTATTAGCCATAACGCGCTAACCAGCAGAGCACTGAGCGATGGCACCAAGAGCAAAAGAAAGCCCCCCCCCCCCGGTCATTATGTAGTGAGGAGGAAGGGGGAGAGAGAGACAGAGATAGAGAGAGGAAGAGAGGGAGACAGAGGGTTGAAAAGGGAGAGAAGAATAATTCAGATTGGCTGACTCGGGACCCACACACCATGGATGGTTGACCAGAGGCTCTGGCAGCACTAGTACCCCCTGCAGGGTGGAAATGGCAACAGAATACAGCTAGTTCTTTTCGGATGATTTATAGCTCGCAAGGCATGGAAAAGGGAGGAGTTTGCTGGCTAAGCTCTGCAGTGCACTTTGGGTAACAGAAGCAGTGAGGTTGCGATTCTGTCACAATGCTATATGGGCAGACAAAAAGTTACCTGGTGACACTTAGTGGTTTCCAGTACCACCAGAAAAAGTGCGTGCTCTTGAAGCTCAGAATTACCTTTATTTTCAGTATTTTTCACAGTCCAACACAGCTAGCTTTTGGCTTTTGTAGCTTCAAGCACTGCCTCTTCCCCTCTCATTTGACCAACGTGCTTTGAGTTAAAAGCTACAGATTTACTCATGACCAAAAGCCTTGAGGCATAGTGGTTCAAACAAAACCCTTCTGAATGGCTGGTTACTTTGCGTCATTTTTCCTCTCTGGGTAAATACATTTCGCTGACAGAACCCAGTTGTACCGTGCTGCTGCTTGAATCGATGAAAGACGAGGATGCTTGAGGCCTTCTCCACACCCAAGCTGAGGTGCTGCACAGGGCGTCTTCCATATTTATGGACCCTGAAGACATCGTTTCTCAGGCTGGTCCCATAGATGTAGTCCTCGAAGATGTCGATCCTGTAAGGCTGGGCTATACCTGGGAAGGAGTTGAGGAACATCAGATTGTGGACACATGAAGGTCTTTGCTAGATGTCATTTCACTGTTATTGACAGGCACAGATCAAACTTCACTTGAAAGTCTAGACTGAGGATATTACAAGCAGTTCTGGACTGACATCAACAATCCGTTCCAGAAAACTTTACTTAAGTCAAATTTTATGCGTTAAATTTACCTTCCCATACCATACAAAACACGACATAGCAAAAATCAGATATAAAATATAATAGTAATATGTACTAAAGAACATATTCAATAAATGAATTAGACTAGATTAAGTCTAAATTTTCCTAGACGCGTACATAGCCTTTCTGCGTTTCTGCTCTGTAAGCTCAAAGTGTCACATATATTTAAGTCGGTTTTATGAAAGTTAAGAGCTGCCTTTATGTAACTTAATACATTCATTAAAATCTACCCCATCCACAATCGAGAACAGGGGTCTTTTGCACAGACACCCCCGCATGTGGCACCTGCCTGCCGATCTGCCCGCTTACCGTGACGCCCGCCAATAGCCACCAGGGCGTCGGAGCCGTCGAAGCGCACACTGCCGATAACGGACAGCTCGGCGTCGGCCCAGTACAGACGCTGGTTGAAGTAATCGATGGCTAGGCCTGTGGGAAGGCAGAGCACACTTATTTCTCCAAAAAGCGTGTGTAAAAAAATTCTTACAAAAAGAAAGGAAAAAAACGAAAAATCGATGGCTTTATTTTCTCCCTCCCAGCTGAGGTGGGCCTGAGTGAACTTTGAGATTACGTTCCTCCAGCCCTGAAGAAAATGGCTCAGTGCTTCAAACGTTTGAAGCCAGGAAGGGCTATGGCAGGACAGAACCCCCAACCGCTGCGTTCTGATAACATCTCAGGCTGAGCCTTGCCCGGGGTCACCCTCTTCCTCTCTCACCCTCGCCCTACCACGCACTGTGGCCCAGTGGCATTATGAGCAGAAGCGTTCAGTCTTTGTGAGGGCAACGTGGATCTGGGGCTTCTGACGAGCGCACATCATTAAGAAAGGCTGTTTTAGTAAATAACCGTAAATCCAACATGAGCCCTTGATAATTAAATCTGTTTGTTTTCTACTGATCACATTTGTGATCACTAAGGCACATAATCCTCCTGCAAATAAGCAGGCGAGATGCGGCAGAGTGCCTTAAAGGGAAATCTATAGTCTGAGCGCGTCAAGCCTCCCGGAGGGTGAAAGCCCTCATTGTCCCAGGCTGTCACCATTATATGAGTGAATGCTTCTAATGAAGGTGTCCTCAACTATTTGGGTGGCGGCCAATGAGAGTGCCAAAGCCTAGGAGAGGGATGAATGGCAAAGAACAAGGACAAATACCAAGGACCCATTGGTCTCTGGGCTGGCCAATGAAAGAGCAGGTCCCTCCCTCCCTCCGCCCCTGTTTACCTGTGGGCCTCCTCAAGTTCTTCTCCAACAGGATCCGGCGCTTGGATCCATCCATGGATGCCTCCTCGATGTGTGAGTGGTCGCCGATCACGGTCCAGTACATCATCCTGTGTGATTTGGAGATGGCCATCATGCTGGAGCTCGCATACCACCATTGATGCTGTTGCCGTTATTTTCTGGAAATTTCTGTGGCCAAATTCTCAATTGCTCACCCACCTTCCCACGGTCTTAAACAAGTCATTCTTCCGCATTATTAATTACACTAATTAGGCCTTGAGGATGCCAGATCTTGAAGTTTTCAGGGAGATAAGCATCAAGCTGCCTGAGAGATGGGCTACAGGGGTGGGAATCCTCATCGTGAGCCAATTGTGAGCAGTTTAGACCAGCTCTGGTGCGTGATACAGATACGTTACAGCATACCTCTTGGTACAGATCAGGTTGCTAGGGCTTACTTCTTTGGAAAACTCCAGAAACCAAACACACTGCTCTTATTTAGTTTGAATCCTAGTCATGATCTTGTTTTAGATAAACTTATATTTCATGAATTATATTGTATGAATTTTACACTCTTATTGGCTTAATAACCTTATCTGCACACACCCAAAAACTGCATGCACCTTACATCTGACTCTTTCCTTATATGTCCATAAAGGTAAAAATATACCTTTACTTATTTGCCCATTTTTATTACTATTTCTACCTCTATTGTACTTTTATTCTATTCATTTTTTGTACAGTTGACTTGATTTTATGTTTAATTGTATACCTCCTGTTACCAGCTGCATTAAAACAAATTACTTCTTGTACTTGGCAATTATGGATTCTGATTCTAGAATGAGATGTTTTACTGCAATAATTCAGGGTATGTATGTGAATTCAGGTTAAATATCTGGCTACTGCAGCAGGAGAGTCCCTCATGGGAATTCACAGGCAATGCTTTGGGTTACCTCCATCACCATGCCATCCCCTGGTCCGTTCTCAAACATGTTATTGTTGTTTGTTGTTTACGCTTTCCAACTATCCAGCTTAACCTGGGTAGTTATCGAAAGGCTGCATGGTTGAGGACCCCACCTCTCCTTCCTGAGAGACAGAGGAGGATACCATGCCTTACCCTCGGACGGGATTGACAGCGATGGCGTAGGGTTCCCCGGCGATATCTGTGATCAGACGGGTGCAGTTGGGCCCACTGAGCTGGCCCACATTAATCGAGTATCTGAGCCTCGTCCAGTGGGCCGTGTAGTAGCTGAACCAGTGCATCCTCGAGTGGTCCGTCCAGTAAATATTCCCCGTCACCCAGTCCGCCGAGACGTCCCTCGGCCTTCGGAAGTCCGGGCACTGCGGGGGTCCATCAAATACCAGAGTGTTTGGCTGTGCGGTATTGCCCAAAAAAAAAACGCACACACGCTCTCATCCACACACAATTGAAGCACAGTATTCAACCTAGGAGCCAAACACATTCACACACACCCCCTCATACCAGAGGTGGAAAAATACAGTCTGTAAGGAGTGTGAATTGATTGAAAATTGTGATGAGGTCCTTCTCCTGGTGTGGGGGTGATCTTACCAACTCACCAGGATCTTGTCACTGATGTGTGGCCATCCCATCTAATTGAATCAATTTCATGGATTTCATGTCTAAAATAACACCAGCATAACCCTTCAAACAACCTGTCTTCCTCATTTTCCCTTCTGCAGGGACATGATGTATCTCAGGGGTGGAGTTTTCACCTTCCCTGTCTGATCAATTGTGACAATTTACCTCTAGAGTTAAGCATGTTCAAGTGAGAACAAGAGAACTGAAGCTCCTTAAATGCCAAAGGTACACTAAGTAAGGACAGTCCCTTCCAAATTGTGTAAACATTATTAAGTATGGAAAAACGCTTTTGTGAAACCCTCCTGGTATCCTTGCAGAAGGTCAATGTTGGAATGAAGTAAGATGGAGGAACACCTGGATTGTTTTAATTGGCTAGATGAACCATGTGTAGCTAAAGATGTTCTGAAAGTAAATGAGCCAAGAAAAAAACTCATTCAGACTAATCAAATGGCAGTTTAGGAGCTCAGCGGCCAATTTTATCTATGAGCGTGGTCTCAACTGATAAAAAGAAATTGTGTTTTTTATGCGTGTGCTTTCACACTGAAGGGTATCTTTTTTTAAGAAAGCAATCAGGGAGGGTTCTGTTCATGTTATAAAGGCTGAATGGATGAAAGCAACTTTAAGGGGTAAGTGTGAAATATTTATTCAGGGGTCATTTCTCAGTGGGTTGGAATTTATGATTAAGAGATTAACTTTACACACCCATGTTCTGGGGTAACTCGACAGCACCAATCATGCTCAAATGAAAATCGAGTTGTGTCTTTTGGTCAGACAGAAGTTGGCATTACATCAAATCATTGCAACGGTGTTTTTAATTAAAGTAGAGAACAAGGGCATGCAGAATGAATTATATTTTATAAATAAGCAGAGAGAGAGGCTTAGGCAAGAGAGTGCTGTTACTTTCCACAGAACAGGTAGGATCTTATGGATACTTACTATAATCCCGCTATTTGATTTAGACTGACTTCTGACTAGGATGTCTTTGTAAAAAATTCCACCCGGATTAAACTGGGTAGCCCAGACAAACTTGTTTCCTTGAAACAGAGCATCCATCCCAATTATCCGGGCATTGTCCTCGATGCGTGCTAGTTGTCCGTGGCTCTGGTTAAACGGATACACAAAACCTCGGATTTCAGTGTCATTAGCTACGTAGAGCACGTGATCTTCTGGTCCTGCCCGTTGAGTCATTAAATATGCAAAAAAAACGAAAGTTTGTCTAAATTCCATTTCCGAATCGAGACGACAGTTTTCCAGCTATTCACAAGACAATATCAGCAATAATAGCTCATAGAAATTTAAACTTAAGACATACATGATACATAAATATATAGCATATACATAAACTATAATTACATATATGTAGAATACACACAAATGTTGCACATTCTAATATAAAAAACAGTAACATTTGAATATTAAACATACATGAATGACAGCAGTATTGAATTTATCTGTATTTTGTGATATAATATGAATAACCTTTTATGGATTTTGAGGTAAAGGTACAACATTATCTATACACAGCATTTACCGATCTGTACATTTTTTAGCAGTACAGCGTTGTAGCTTACATTTACTATGAGTAGATACCATGAGCTGATTAGCTAGCAAAAATAGATGCATGAGGATTGACTTTTACCTTTTGCTCGACAGTGTCCATCAATGTCTTTGAAATTGGGGTCACATGTGCACCTGAAGGACCCTTTGGTGTTCATGCAATGGTGTGAGCATGTTCCAAAGTGAAGGCACTCATTGACTTCTGGGGGGGGGGAGAGGAAAGGCGTCAGCATTTCAGTCCTCAAAGGCTTCAAAAGGCGCTCTACTTACTCGGGGGGAGGGCAGGCTTGATGTGCCTGTACTGTCTATTAGAGAGCTGCAAGCTCTCCCCCGGCATCGATGGCGATTACCGACACTCTCACGCTAATAGGACCCTCGAGTTTGTGCAGATTGGCCAGATGCAGACATTAAGGCAGCGATGCTTTCTCTGATATAACGAGGCTGCCCCTTCGCTTTGAATGCAGCCTCTAGTAATGTTTACACATGGGATTCCTTCCTGTTTTTTTTTTTTCCCAAAAAAATCAGAAATGTCACATATTATCGTCTCTTGCTGAGGAGTCACTCCACCTGTACCACTGAGTCAACTTGAGAGGTCACAGTTTCACACAAAGTCGAGGTTTTCATAGACTGACTAAACTGCTAATTCACAAATTGCCTAAAAGCAGATGGAGTGAGCTTGTGAGACTAATAACAGACCTATAATTACAGCTATTGTTATCTGGCTGCAAATTAGTTGCAAGCAGCAAGGTCCTAATTAAACTTCTTAAGAAGTAACAGTGCCAAATTAACTGCAGACCAAATGGCATTAACAGACAAGTTCTGTATGTTTCATAAACATGAAGTTGTTCACAACCATGTGTGCAGTCCATTAAAATATTAAGTGATTTACTATGAGCACAAAATATCCTAGCACACAAATAATTTAATACCTTCTGATAAAAATGCTTTAAGAATTGAACAAGGGGGCCAAGGGGATACTGAAATTCTAAAAAGTATAAAGTGCAGTGGGTTTTGGGGCAGAGGTCTGAAACTCAGAAAGAACCAAAGGGGAGCAGGGTTTAACCAAATAAAAGACACACAGAAGGGATGGAGGGATGAAGCCCTTTTAAGACGAGCAAGGGCAAGGCAGTGAAAAGGCTGAAATAAACCCTCAGGCAACACATCTACTCCAATATTGGCCTCCCACTTCCACCCAGCTGACCCTGTGTTAACCCTAAGAGTGAAATCGGGGCCAGTAGGGTGCTTGGTGGCCTCTGGCTCATGATCAAGTGGCACAGCCGCAAGGCTGATCTGCTTAACGCAGTCCCTCACTGACTCACACTCCTTTCATCTGCTACCGTATGGATTACTCCACCTTTCCAGACGCACAGTGAAAGCTCACATATTGTAATGAAATGCACCGGCTACATCTCACACAGTACGTTTCACACATCTCCCTGGGAAATGAAGCAGGTCGTCTCCAGAGAACATGTCGGCGAGGATGACGGGGAAACACGCCTAAATGCTGGTGCGATTCGATTTCCACACCGTAATCTAGGCTGTGCTGCGCTGTTGTGTGTTATCTCCCCTCCCATCTTAACACTGGCTTTCCAGAAACAGCTGACTGTCAGTGGCCAGGGATCGAGAAAGGGAAAGGGCATTTGTATGCCCCGTGATAAAATGTTGAACATGTTCAGGAGGGCTGCTGGAGCTGGTCTGAGCATGAGAGAAAGAGAAAGAAAGAGAGATGAAGAGACAGTGAGGGCGAGCAAGCAGTGGCAGATGTATGAAAGTGGGATGTGGATGAGGCTTACCAAGATAGAGAGAGAGAGAGAGAAAGAGAGAGAGAGTGTGTGCTGGTAGGTATATGATGGGACCTACCTTCACACTGTCTGAATGAGAGAGGGGGCAGCAAATGCAGTATGAAAGCAGGACATTGATGGGGCCACCCATGACATTGAGGGAGGGTCTATCTTCACACCGTCTACTCTACCATGATGCTGATAGAGGCACTACCTTCACAGTGCCTGCCCTCCCTTTCCAATACTGAGAAAGTGTCTACCTTCACACTGTCTGCTCTACCATGACACTGTGAGAGGGCCTACCTTCACACTGTCTGCTCTACCATGACACTGTGAGAGGGCGTACCTTCATGCTTTCTGCTCTACAATGAAACAGAGAGGGCCTACCTTCATACTGAATGCTCTACCATTATACTGAGAGAGAGCTAAAATTCACACTGACTGCTCTATCATAATACTGAGACAGGGCCTACCTCCATGTTGCATGCTATACCATGAAGCAGTGAGGGCCTACCTTCACTCTGTCTGCTCTACTACAACATTGAGAGGGCCTACCTTCACACAGTTTGCTGTTGTGGCTGCGCTGGAATCCTGGTCTACAGTGGCAGACAGCCCCGCTTTCCGTCTGATTGCAGATGGCGTCTTCCCCGCATGGGTTCACCCTGCTCCTGCATATGTCCTCGCCATGAACTGGATGGGGTATATGAAGTGCCCATCACTCAGTGATGCCCCGCCCCATCCATCGCTCAGATCGTCCAATCCCCTGCTTTCATCCAGACCAAGGAACAGACTAGCACAGTATACAAGCTGCATAGGGAAATCAATATGCAAAACAGAAATGCCTCCCTGATGCCTCATTTCACAGAGAGACAGGCAGGTTTCCTGTCAACACTTTCTGATTGGTTCTGTTTCTCCAAACTCCCTTCATGATAAACCTGGAGAACTTTTTGAGATACTAATATAACAGGGATACAGTAAAATGTATATTCTTAAAAGATCACCCCAATTAATGATGACTTTTCTCCATCATGACACCCATGGACAGCCAGAAGGTGTGCAGGCTAGCAGATTTCTGATGGGGGGGGGGCGGTCCAGCTGTCCCGCCCACCTGGTGCCAATTTGTGTTCCTGGGACCTGGCCAGCACAGCGGGGAACTGAACCCACGCCTCACCTCCTGCTGACTGAACCCCCCCCCCCCACCCAGGGGGGCTTCAGGGTCTGTTTTTAAAGCTGTGTCCATGTTCCAGGCTCCGTTCCCGGTAGTGGCATCTGACTGAAAGCTTTTTGCCCAAACTCCCACTCAGCTGCCTAATTAGCCCCATTAGTCCGATACTTTTGACGTTTCTTTAAGGATGAGGTACATTTCAAGGGAGCCGCCAAAGCAGCGCTGCAGGGGAACATGGCTGAATGGTGATAAATATTACAGATAATTAACGGCGACCGGAATGGATCAGGCCAGGGGGCTGTGCTGAAGGGCAGCGCAGAGTGACCAAGAGATGGAAACCTCAATGTGTGCCCTAGTGGACAGTCACCTGGATTTTCCGAACATGGTTTCCTGTTTGGGGCTTAAACATTGTCAGGCAGGTAAGTGCTCTCCCAGGTAACTCAGCAGGAACACCCATTAAAACATACACCCCTCATGGCCCCAAGAAAGCCATCTCACGGTCTCAGACTACGCGTCCCTGTAGGCGGGAGACTTGACGGGTTGATCTCCGATGTCACACTCACAGGTTTTGCAGCCAACCTCATCGGAGCCTCCGTCGGCACAGTCGTCAAAGAGGTCACACTGCAGCTCAGCGGGGATGCAGCGGCGCCCTCCACAGGCAAACTCAGCCTTCCCACAAGGCCGGGGCCTGGCCGGCACGCTGCCTGCATGCGGCAGACGCACAGAGAGAGAAGTGGTTAAACGCAGGGCCCCCCGTCGCTGTCAGACTGCCGCCGTCCCCCCCTGCGAGGCTCATGATGGATGGCACCGATTGATCGGAGTATGTCGGGCTAGCAATTTTGTAATGTGACATGACAGCACAAAGTGGGCCAAAACCTGGGTGTGTTTCAGCAAGATGGAGAGTTTATACGTGTTCAAAGGCGCCCCCCCCCCCCCCCCCCCCCCACGTGTGAGTAGATGAATAAAAGCAGAGAGTATGCGGTGAATAAACATGCAAATGTGTCTGCAGATTCAAAGTCACTTTTAAATGTGAATGGCGGTAAAGCCAGGAGTGTGCTACAGGAAGAGCTCTCTCTCTCACTGGGTGTCCCTGTTGAAGGCATCCCAATAGTGTGAGGGGAACAGGAGCACAAGTAGGTAAATACAGAGCAGCTCACAGCAGAAAAAGAGCCCAAAGAAGCTTGCTTTTCAAACTGGTTACAAATGCCTACTTCTCGTTTGGTGAGGGACAGCTGTTTTGCGAATGAAGATGATGTGGGATGAACTTACTTAAACGTGTACCAGCTGATAGGGCTCAGCTAAGAGCAAAGCACTGGAAGATTCTAGAATGCTCTAGAAGGCACTCACCGGGCTGCTCGCCACACTCCTCCTCATCCGAGTTGTCTCCGCAATCGTCAACAGCGTTGCACAGCTGCTCCGTGTGGAGGCACACGCGTTCATTCCTGCAACGGTGAGGCCTCGTCGGTGGGCAGGGGAACCTGGCTGAGGGTGCGAGAGTGAGGGAGGACAGCTACATCAGGGCTAACCAGGGCTAACCATAACTCAAACCAGGTACAGCTGCTCTTGCTGCGTCATCCTGAGCGTATCAGAATAACATCAAGCTCACAGAGACGCACCCAGCTGACTGAGCTTTATCAACTTCTGAAAATTGCAAAAATGTTCTTACTGTATTGTAACTGAATTGTACTGTACTACTTTGTAACAGAAAAACTGTGCTAAGGGAATTTTAAATACATTCAGAATTTTTCGTATATTGACTCAGCAGGCAGCACCGGCAGAGCATCCATTTAGGAGGAGTGCTGGGCAGTAAGGACACTGTCCGAATCACTGGGGTGAAACACGGCCTTTACAGAAGTATGACTACAACAGGAAGCAGTTTTGCACTTGCCAATCAGACAGGAGCAGACAGTTTGCCCTGTGACTAAAGTCTGTGACTCCCTGAAAGCTTTTAATGACCTTTACAGGGGATGGTGCCTCAAGAAGAGGTTTCCTGACATTTGTGAGAATTGCTGAGGTTCACAGGACATGTTCTCAATGTTTGATTTTTACCTGAAACCCATAATTACAGGAAAAGGGTGGTTAAGTCAGTAAGCAGACGCGACGGAAAAATAAAGTAAAAACACCACATCAATGTTTTCTTCAATTACATCTGAGCAAGACATGAATTATGTTACATATTTTAATCTATTCCTGTGAAGCTGCAGCGGTGGGCAGATGGATGTATGTGAACATGTAACATCAGTCACTCTCGTGTTTTATTGTAAATCCCCAAAGAGCCTTTGTAGTCACAGTGATGCACATCATGTAGATGGGGCGGATGAAGAGATGGACTCCCTCATACCGCACAGATTGGGGTCCTCGTCAGAGTTGTCCCCGCAGTCGTCCTCGCCATCACACACCCACACTTGTAGCTTGCACAGCGTGTTGTTGCAGATGAACTCGTCGGAGCGGCAGGACAGCACGCCTGCCAGAAGGACGTGTCAAACGAAAACAGGGTCACTTGCTTTGCCAGGCTGTTTCATGCACAGCTGAGGGAACAGGGTCTACATCCCATCCAGCACAGGCTGCTGAAGAACATCATGCATTACACAGACAGTCACAGAGACAGACAGGCACAGAAACATGCACAGCCCATGTATTCATATCTTTATGGGGACATTTATTTCTATGGACATAACCCTAATCCCAACTCTGACAATCTTAACCCCTACCCAGTCCTAACATTAATCATAAGTAACGGTAAAAAATTTGTATTCATATCTCTGTGGAGATTCTCCATTAATCTCTATGGGAAAAACCCTAATCCCAGCAATGACAACCTTAACCCCTCCCCAGCCCTCACCTTAACCATAAGTAACCAAACAAAATGCAAGACTTTAGGCATTTTTAGTTTTGTGATGGCATTCACAGAATTTAGTAAAATTCAGTTTTATATTCTGGGGATCTGAAAAATGTCCCCACAAGCTAAGTAACATTTTATCACATTGTAGGGACATTTGGTCCCCACAATGTGGTAAATACAAATCCACACATACACACTCTCACACAAAGTAATTTCCTGCAGAAGAAGAGTAGCGGGGGTGGGGGCATTTGGCTAGACTGGGTCCTGTTTCCACCGCCTGGTCCCTCCCCGTTGGTTCCCGGCCCGCACCCTTTGAGTCAAATTAGCTTCACAAAAACCCGATAATAAGCAGGCAATTACGACGACCCCGTTGCCGGGGAAACGTGTGGAGGAAAGGCCGGTGCCGTAACTGTGAATACAAAGCAGCTCCTTATAATTAGAATGAATTACACATGTGGGGGGGTGTCCAGGCAGACGAGCGGCTGCAGCGCCATTTACCAGACAGCAGAGAAAGGCAAATAAATGTGGCCAGTGCCACAGGAAACCACATGATGCCCCACCCCCACATGCACGGATGGGGGGCACCCCAAATAGAAACCAATGTCATTAACGCAATGCTCCGCCCCCACATGCATGGATGTGGGGAAGGGGCGGGGGGGGCACCCCAAATAATAGAGACTGATGTCATGAACGTGATGCTCTACCCGCTCATGCACAGAAAGGGTGGGGGACACCCCAAAGAGAAAGTGACGTCATGAATGTGGTGCTCCGCCCCCACGTCCACAGACAGGGTGGGGGCACCCCAAACAGAGACTGACATTATGAATGTTATGCCCTACCACCACACGCACGGACAGGGGGGCAACCAAAATGGAAATTTACATCAAGAACACGGTGCCCCCGCCCCCAAATGGAGACCGATGTCATGAATGTCATGCCCTGCCCCAACATGCAAGGACTGGGTGGGGGGCACCCCAAATGGAGACTGATGTCATGGACATGATGCCCTGCCCCCACATGCACGGACATGCATAGATTCTCCATTTTGTGTGCTCAGTCATGTTTATTTTGGGGGGGAGTAACATAGGCTGCCGTCACTGTTCATTTATCGATGGCATCCTATGTTACTCCGCATCCCCTGCTTGCTAGTGTCCTGGGTCTTCATCCCAGTATAGACCAGGCACCACTGAATAACGGACCCAGGGATCAGAACCATAGCATGGTGCAGGGGATGCGATGGGGCTCAGATCGCATTTTCCGAAAGGAACAATATGGAGCTGCTTCTCAGGGGAACAGGACCGTGAGAAAGACAGCGACGCAGCTGAGGGTGTTTCACATGAAAGGAAAACCACAGGCCATTTCCCCCCAGGTTTAGCGTGAACGCTATACAACACAATGTGATTTAAGGGAAAGCCACCTGCTCCGCCTTTGCAAAAACAATCCTGCATGAGAGACCGGCTCTACAAATATGAAAAGCTGAGAGTGAAGGTGGGGGCAGGGGGTGTCAGTTTCATATTAAACATCATTTTACTAATCCTCTCCAAGGGAGACAAGGGTCTAAAAAGCCAGGGACATTTTTAAAACACGCATGACAAGCATCAGACACTCCTGGTGATTTACAGAAGCTCTTTAATAAGGCCCTGCTTCCCCGACGCGAAGCATGATCCAGATGAGTGCTTCCTAAACCTTACCACAGGGACCCCCCCATATACACGCTTGACGGCTTTGCATAAGGCTTCACACTCAGATCTGATGTTCTAGTGACATGACAAACAAGCAGAGTCACTTGGGACCCTGAGGATTCCTATGAGAACCACTGGCTCAGACAGCGAGAGCAGGAGGTCACATGACACAGTAATGTGACATCACCGCTGGCTGAGTTAGCTGTGGCGCCCCCTCCTGGCTAGGCATAGGCACCCTACCCGGGCCGCAGTTCTCCTCGTCGCTGTGGTCCAGGCAGTCAGGCACATCATCACAGCGCCACCTCCGTGGGATGCAGTGCGCCCGGTTCTGGCACAGGAACTGGTCCTCATGGCACTCGCGGATGCAGTCCACCTGGGGGCAAAGCACAGAGACGCTGAGAGCCACGCTGGGGACAGTGGGGCCTGGCGCCTGTGCTTGATTTAATTTTAATTTTAATTATACCCATCATCCCACTGCCCAGTACTGAGCCCATCAAAGTCCCTGGAATACTTTCACTGACTGGAGCCCACTAGGACAAGGAAACAGGTAGGAGGGTCTGCTGCTCTGCACTTTAACCCAAACAGTGCTGATCTCCGTTTAAATGAAGGAGTCTCCCTTAGAAAGAGACACTGTGGTCTTTGGTGGCCCAGAGTAGATGTAAATGTAAAGCAAACGAGCCCTGTGATGGACTGGCATCCCATCCAGAGTGTACCTCTGCCTTGTATGTTGTGGGCTCCAGGTCCTGATGACACTCATCAGGACTAATGGAAAGATGGATGGATGAATGGATGGATGGATAATTAATTTAAAATAGTTGATGCCGTTGTGAAATCAAAGTAAACTCTGGACATTAGTCATAAAGAGCCAGTGTGACCCAGAGCATAGATCAATGATCCCGAAGGGCATCTTTCCCATTGTGGTTCTTTCCTGCTTTCGGCTGGAATGAAGCAGCCCAATGTGACCACAGCTCCTTTTAGAGCCAATGTTCTACCATAGGAGAACAGCTGTGTTTGTTCTCAGATGTGGCCTCTCCTCAGTTTGCCTGTTCACTGCTTCCCCTTCATTCATTTTTCATTCCCCTTTGGCTCTTCATCCTTTTACGTACTATTTTTTGTCTTTCGTTGTGCAAAAGAAAAAAAAAACATTCCAGATACTAATCAGGAATGAGAACGCACCAGGAAACAATTTGAGAAAGAGAAAAAACCAGGAAGCATTTTGGGAATGAGATCTTGTCATTCTAAAATGAGAACTAGCCAAGAAGTGAATCGAGAATGAAAGTGAGGCAGGAAGTGAATCAGGAATGAGAACTTGCCAGGTATCGAATTGGGAATGAGAACTAGCCAGGAAGTGAATCGAGAATGAAAGTGAGGAAGGAAGTGAATCAGGAATGAGAACTTGCCAGGTAGTGAATTGGGAATGAGAAATTGCCAGGTAGCAAATTGGGAATGAGAACTTGCCAGGTAGCGAACTGGGAATGAGAACTAGCAAGGAAGTGAATTGGGAATGTGGTAGGAAGCGAATCAGGAAAGGGATCGAGCCAGGAAGTCAATTAGGAATGGGAATGAGCCAGGAAGCCAATCGGGATTGGGATCGAGCCAGGAAGTCAATCGTGAATGGGAACGTATCAGGAAGTCAATCGGGAATGAGAACGTGTCAGGAAGCCAGTAGGGAATGAGAACATGGCAGGAAACCAAACGAGAATCTCACAGATGACATTTAACAAATGATGATAGTTAAGGTGATAAGAATACAGTGCACATCAGCACAGAAACCATTTATAAAGTCATAAACAAGACCATTTTACTGGGAAATTGTGAAGCAGTAGCTCTACATTAATTTAATGTAGAAAGTTTGTTTTCATGCTCCCAAGGCATGCTCTGTAATTACAGCGATGGTCATCAATGCTTAATTGAGCCAAACAGTAAAACTCATTTTCTGATGTTAATAAATTGTGCTCATCTGGTCCCTAATTATGGCACCAAACGGTTCTATGAGTTCAATAAGCCTGGAGTGAGGGGGTTGGGGGGTTTGGGGGCGGAGTGGGGCAGACCTCGTCAGAGCCATCAGCGCAGTCGTCGTGTCCATCGCATCGCAGGCTGGCCGACACGCAGCCTCCACTGACACAGCTGTACTCATTCAGCGAGCAGGAGGGGGCATCTAGGGAAGGTAAGAGAAACACAAACATAGGTCAAAGGTCAGGCTCCTCCTCCTTACAGTCTCATCCCATTCCAGGTCTTGGTGTTTCAATGAAGCACGTTTACGGACAGCGGGACACCAGGGCTCTTCCTGGGACTAGCACGGAACCCCATCTGGACGTGTGTCCAAATTTCCATACACCCTTTTCCCTGTGGTGGAAGTCTCAGTGTGTCTCAGTCAAACAGCCAGCCATGATGAGGCCAGCGTATCTCTGCGGCCCCAGTCGGCTACGGTGTGAGGTCACTGTATTACCAAGGTCCTAGCCGGCTACAGTGTGAGGCCAGTGTATCTCCGAGTCTCCAGCTAGCTATAATGTGAGGTCAGTGTGTCTCCGAGTCTCCAGCCAGCTACACTGTGAGATCAGCATATCTCCAAGGCCCCAGCCAGCTATGGTGAAAGGCCAGTGTATCTCCGAGTCTCCAGCCAGCAATAGCATGAGGTCAGTGTATCTCTGGGGTCCCAGCCGGCTACAGTGTGAGGCCAGCATATCTCTAAGACCCCATCCAGTTATGGAGTGAGGCCAATCCGGAGGATTCAGGCTCCGCAGGATTTTGCCAAAGCATACCGGCCTTGTAAGCTTCACGTCTCTGACCGCTCTCCGTCTCCTCTCTACATACCTGGCTCCACAGCTGCATTGTGGCAATGGCGGTGGTCATGTGACCACCAGGGAACAGTGACATCATGTACAGGGGCTTCTGTCAGCTAACACATATGTACTTTGTGAACAATCGCTGAGCATGCATCCTGCTTCAGCTGAAAATAATTCTGTTTCCAAGCGTAAGCCTGGGGATGTTTTTTTAGCACAGCACAAACACATGTCCGACACAGAGATCAGCTAGGTGCCTGAAGCCTTTGAGCTCGCTGCTGTCTGTAGATCCACACCCTGCTGCCAAGGATCTTTTTCCGATCAGCTGACAATGGGCCAGCAACGGGGGAGCATCTACGGACAGGCATTCAAACTCCGGAACTTTCTGCAGAGGGGCCATTTGGCAGTTTTGCTGGCTGGAGCCCTCATTAACGGGCAGGTCATGGTCCTGATTTGATTTATGGAGATTTTTTCCATTCCATTAAAGGCAGCGTGTGAGAGAAGTGCATCCTTTGGCACTTAAGCTTTTAACCGAACCTTCCTGCCTTAATTAGAATAACTCACTGTCCTCGGGAACCTTCAGTTTAGTGTGGAGAGAGACAGAGACAGAGCCAGAATTCTGTACATAATCTCTGCTCCTGCTTTAGGGGGAGAGGGGGCCTGTTTCCCAACCAAAGGAATTATTATGTGATACTTTAGTAGTGCTGTGGAAAAGACTACGGAGTTATATTCATTACTGTGATATTTGACTGTAAGATTAGCCTGAGCATAGAGCTGTAACAACAATCCAATTTGCTCCGACTGGCTGATTATATCCACTGCAGGAATAAAACAGAGACATTAAAATAAAGTTATTGGGCTGAACAGCTATCATTAAGACGGCAGGTGAGGTGTCAGCTTCGTCTCACAGGACAGTACAGCATGTCTTACAAACAGGATTAACGGCACGAAAGCTTTGTTATAAAAAAACCCATAAGCATTAAAAATGAGGTATTAGGACAGAAGGGGCATGGTTTTTAAGGACGGGCAGGTTATGGGTTTCCTAGGGCCATGTGAACCAGCTGTTTGAGGTAAGCCATGTGACACAGTCCCCCCCCCCAAAAAAAAATACACATATTTCTCACCCCAACCCCAAAACATGCACACCCCTGCCAACTGTGATGGTAGAGGACAATCCTGTGCTTAAAAGTCAGCAATGTGCAGTGTCCCACAATATTGTGAGACACTGGGTCCCATGCTGTGAGCTTTATTTACACCGCTGGTTACAAGCTAGCCTGGGGTGGCCTGGGGGGGGGCAGCCTTACCGAGGCCCTGGCAGTCGGCCTCATCCTCGCCAGTCTTGCAGTCCTCCTGACCGTCACAGAGCCACTTGAGGGAGATGCACAGGTTGTTCAGGCACTGGAACTGGTCTGCAGAACAGCGGGTCTCGCAGTCCTTCTGCAGACGGACCGGGGGGGTGGGGGGGGTATCAGGGTCACATTGACAGGTAGACAGGCGGTCAGGCTCAGGAACTTGCGTCGGTTACTGTGAGAGTAATAACCAAACAGCCCTTTTTAAAGGGCCATATCTCAGAGTCAGCTAATGACCCCCAGTGCCATTCCCTCCTGTTCATTTACTCCATGATCACGGCGAATGGTGGGGAAAATGCTTGTCTGTCTTGGTTGCCCATTGGCAGGCCCACGAAACAGACTTCATGGTGGCTGGGGGGCAGGGAGGGAGGCTGCCGCCTCCACTGAGCAATGACACAGGAAGCTGTCACGGCACCACAGCCACAGAGATTACTCACAGCAGAATCAGAGAGAGCACACAGACCAAAGAAGCTGCAGGGTCTTTAAGGAGCATTCTGGAGCATTGCCCGCCTATTAGGTATCATATTACACATAGGCGCGTCGGCCTTCTCAGGACAGAGAGAGATTTACTCACTCCCCTTCACGCTTGGTTTTTAAACCTTGGGAATGAGGAACTATCAGGCCATTGTGCCAAATTGCAGACTGAAAGCAATGGGGGCTGGTCCTGCCTTAGATGGACATTAAGACTATGAGTGTTTATTTCCCCACATTCAGGAAGGATGAAACAAATAGTGCTGAGATTTTATCGAAGAAAAGCAGCATCAGCGAGAGGGTCAGGGGGCTGTATGCTCACAAGCACCACATGCAGAATGGAGTTCAGGACCACGGACAGCACCCTGCCTGAGGCCTGAACAGTATGAGGTACAGAAAGCTAAAAACAAAACCTGCTCCATGTGACTAACTCCCAGTGACAGGAACACTGCTGCATTTTGTTTGGTAAACTATAACTGGTGACTGTCCATCTTTTTGCTGAGTCTTCAGGAATGCTGTGCCTGCTTAATCATTTTGTGAAATCCTGTAAAACAGTCTAAAAATGTGGATGATGTCTAGCTGAATGGTCAGCAGGAGGTGATATTTTGGACATTAAACAGCTGATTTTGGCACCCAACTTTGGTTTGTACTGGTCCCACACAGTGGGCTTTCCACCTATGGGGACAACTGGATAAACTCAAGACCATGATCACTCACCTCGTCGGAGCTGTCGATGCAATCGTAGTCCCCGTCACAGCGGAAGCGTGAGGAGATGCATTCTCCATTGGAGCAGACAAAGTCCTTCGAGCTGCAGGTCACTGGCTCTGCGTTGTTCGGGACAGAATAGAGGGCCTGAGACTGCAAAATAGCGGAACATCCTGCGTGCCCGATGGCGTGCTGCGGTTCTCTAAGCGCATTACCGAACAGCACAGGCACCAGGATGGCCAGATAATCTACCACCGCATATTCACTCGTGTGTCTAACAGGATTGTGATCATGCCGCATTGATAAGCCTGCCTAATTGGTTGCAGACGCCTCGGGCACCTGGCAGGAGGTGCTGTCACGGCCAAAGGAGATGTGGTGGAGTCATTCACTCCAAATAGTGGACCCTATCAGAACAGATGATAAGACTGCTAGGGTGTGGTCGTGGCCTTGCTCCCTTGGCTGCTGTAAGACCAGCAGGAAGTTGGTATGGCTTTGGTTCTACTTATCGTAATAAAACCACCAGGTTCTCCCTACTGTGATAGGACCACCAAGAAGTGGGGGTGGCTTTGGTTCTCCCTACTGTGATAGGACTACCAGGAAGTGGGCATGGTTTTAGTTTTCCTTATTGTAATAGGACCACCAGGAAGTGGGTGTGGTTTGGTTCTCCCTACTGTGATAGGACTACCAGGAAGTGGGAGTGGTTTTAGTTTTCCTTATTGTAATAGGACCACCAAGAAGTGGGTACGGTTTTGGTCTTCCTGGCTGCAGGAAAACCATCAGGAAGTGGGTGTGGTTTGGTTCTCCCTACTGTGATAGGACTACCAGGAAGTGGGCGTGGTTTTAGTTTTCCGTACTGTAATAGGACCACCAGGAAGTGGGTACAGTTTTGGTCTTCCTGGCTGCAGGAAAACCACCAGGAAGTGGGTGTGGTTTGGTTCTCCCTACTGTGATAGGACTACCAGGAAGTGGGCGTGGTTTTAGTTTTCCTTACTGTAATAGGACCACCAGAAAGTGGGTATGGTTTTGGTCTTCCTGGCTGCAGGAAAACCACCAAGAAGTGGGTGTGGTTTGGTTCTACCTACTGTAATAGGACTACCAGGAAATGGGCGTGGTTTTAGTTCTCCTGGCTGCAGGAAAACCACCAGGAAGTGGGTGTGGCTTTGGTTCTCCTTACTGTAATAGGACCACCAAGAAGTGGGGGTGGCTTTGGTTCTCCTTACTGTAATAGGACTACCAGGAAGTGGGTGTGGCTTTGGTTCTCCTTACTGTAATAGGACCACCAGGAAATGGGGGTGACTTTTCTCTTCATGCTTCTAAGTGAATGTGGCTGCCTTTGTTCTGCTATACCTGCTACCTGTTTTCATGTTCGTGTGCTATATTGAGCATTTGGTGAATTTTCAAGAACTAGCTCTCAGTTTAGGGGAGCGTTTTCCCACCTTGATGAAACGAGGGGCCCGGCCCACTAGGGTGACCACTCTGAGCTTGCAATGACAAATACAAAGGGAAGTAATGCCCACCCTCGTTTACCCCCGTCAGCTAGGTTGAGAGTAAAGAATGATTATTGCTGAGTGAAAAGAAGAAATGGTGTAGAGTACAGCCCTATTGCAGCCCAAGTATGATGTGCTGTAAGATCTAGACATCTGGAAAGAGATCCGGGCAGAGGGAGAGAGATCAGGGCAGACGGAGAGAGATCAGGGCAGATGGAGAGAGATCAGGGCAGACGGAGAGAGATCCGGGCAGAGGGAGAGAGATCCGGGCAGAGGGAGAGAGATCAGGGCAGACGGAGAGAGATCAGGGCAGACGGAGAGGGATCAGGGCAGATGGAGAGAGATCCGGGCAGAGATAGAGAGATCAGGGCAGAGGGAGAGAGATCAGGGCAGACGGAGAGAGATCAGGGCAGACGGAGAGAGATACAAACGTCGATTTAAAAAATTGTCATATCTCCATGTTTGTGGGGAGCACTGAAAGTGAATATGTACCTGAACAGATGGAGAAAAGCCAAACAACAGCAAAGATAAACCCACAGGCCTACAAGATCTGCAACATGCTGTGCTGTCTACCAGTGTTTCAGAACCATTGAATACATATTTGCTCATTAAAATGGTACAGCTACCACCTCGGTTTCCTGCCGTAATCGTCCTTTTGATTTGAAGTAATGTAACCAATCAGGTGGAAATCAGGATATTTAAATGTAATTAGATGTTCGGCTAGGTGAATGGGGCCCCAGCAAGCTGAAATAGCCCATGAGGTCTTGGGCCAGACAGCTCTCTGAAGGGGAGGAGCTTCGGCTTAATGGGCCCCCCGCTTGGGACACACAGAACACCATTAACTACAGCAAGTCGGGGGTTTGTGGGAACACAGAAATGCAGCATAAAGGTAGGCAAGAAGTTGTCACAGCAGCGGCGGGGGCAGGGACGGGCTCTTACTGCAGTTCTGCTCGTCAGAGCTGTCGCCGCAGTCATTCTGAGTGTCACACCTCCAGTGGTCCGGGATGCAGTTGTTGTTCTTGCAGCGGAATTCATGGGGCCCACACGTTTTCTCATCTTGTCAGAAACAAGAACAAACAAACATACAAAGAAAAACACATAAATATTAATGTCCCACAGTAGCGCCGCCATGCATAATCGCCATCGTCTCATTGCCGGGTTTGAAACCGAGGGGAGAATAAAGCAGTCATTGACAGGTACCTGCAAGCAAGCACGCGATGCAACAAATACTCCAAAAACTATGCGATCCAGCTGTAAATAAGGCAGGGCCATACCACAGATGCATCAGTAGCAGCCTGGTGGCCACTCTCTGAAGTGCAGTCCTCCTGTGGAGTACCCTGAAGTGGGAGGTGTGTTCCCATCAATGCTAACATACCAAATAAAGATGCTAAGGTTTTAACTTTAATAACAGGCTCCATCGGCTCCTTCGTGCCTTAAGGACCCTATTTCCACTTATCCAGTGCAGAAGCCAATTCCCGGAAGCGAAGGGCACAGGACAGGAGACACCCGGGACAGAAATTTGCTTCATTGCAGAAATACACACACGCACATGGGAAATTGAAACCAGAATGCCCAGGGGAGAGCCATGGGGGAACGTCGCACCTCCTCATGCAAAGCTGAGGCGGGAATCATACCCCCAGCCCTGACACCACAGTTCTCCCCACTGTGCGATGAGTTTATACACCATGTATTTATATAAACTGATATACTGAGGGCTTCTTTAATTCAGCTTATATAAGTAAGCCCGGCAAACCCCTCTCTCCTGCATTATTCATCCTTATCTGTATTCGATGTGTATGTTTGGTTTCCTAATGCTGTAAACCAACATTGAAATTTAACCTGAATTCACTATTAGAGGGCCTAATCCATCTATCAGAACAGGGGATAAATATATAATACATTATTAATCTCCACATCACTGTGCCATGTCTGAGTGCTAATTCGCAGTCTTAATTCAAAATTAACCCAATTTCGATGTGATTCTGGGCTGCACGGAAATATTAAGTTTTCGTCTCCCTAGAGGTCCGTGGCTCCACTGACTCTGAAGAGCCAGTCAGGTAGCATGGAGTTATTCAACTCTCTGGGGGGGGGGGGGCTTGCAAAACCACACAAGTCTATGAAAATGACCTAGAAGCATCTACACATAAACAACCCCAAACTAGCATCTTAACTGTCTGAGAGAGACATCTCACTCCTTTTCAGTTTAAGTATGCAGGGGCGGGTTTGTTGTTTCTGGGGCCTGACTCAAAGTCACTTTGGGGCCCCCACCCCCTAGTGTAGTGCATGTCTGCAGCCAACAGGGGGCCCGCAAACCTCAGAGTACCACGCACATGCGTGTTTGTGCAAATGGCTCTGGCGGCAGACCTCGCCTGTTAGTAAACCTGTCTGAGAGTAAGAAAATGACGTAAATGTCATGCACAGAAGTCTTGTGTTAGTGCAGCTTTTATGAATACAGTGTTAAACTAAACAAAACACTACAGAGCACATCCACGGATTTATTTTGAGGTGCAAATGAAATCCCCCGTGGAGTAATTTATGTCTGATGATATCAGTATTATGTTTATTTTGCTTGATTCATCGCTGTCTAATATTAAGTTTTCTTTGCATTTAACTATGCATAATACATAGTGAATAAGAAAATAATCGCTTCATAGTAGTCCTACTTACGTCGTTCCCATTGTCTACCATAAATGTGTCTATCGTGCATTCAAGTCTTAAAGATCACACATTGAAATGTTTTGACAATGACGGCCGAATGTGTGATGACTGATTATTTTGTCTTACATTCATACTGTATGGATGCACAAATAAATATGGAAGGCAGGATTTCTGCCAGCACAGAAACCTTGTGAGATCTGTTGCAAATATTCATTCAAACCTATTTCCCCTTTGTCCACCAACACTATTCAAACCCGCACCTGCACCTTCCAACTATGAAGCTTGTGCAATGATATTTTAACAATTAATAATACCAACACCAAGAATATTATTTTCCTACTTGTACCTACCCTGTACTCTTGTACACATGTAGTTTTAATAATTAATAAACAAATATTAATGAAACAAATTTTTCACCGGTAAACCTGCAACAACTGGTATAATTGCATTTAAATGAGCCATAACAATATGCATGCATGTTAATTAATACAGTATCTATAAACCAAATTTGTTAATGGAACTGTTTTTAAAGATGTTTCATATGCAGTGATCATGTTTAGCGAACATGTTTTTTGTTATAAATAGTCCTTAACTCGCAAAAATGTTTTTAAACAAGATCATAGATAGTGATTATTTTAAAACAAAGGTGATTAATGAAGTCCTTCACTGCTGAAATCGTTTTACATTTCACTGGATGTAAAATACGTAATTGTTAGCAGGGAGAAAAGGCTTTTAAAACAATATAGGCAGCAGAATAGTCTTAGCAAAACCTTTACATCAAAATACAAAATCCACAATTCCAAGCGTGAGATACGCATCATTTCCTTACCCTCAGACAAGATTTACTGCCAGAGAAGGTTTGCTCACAGGTAAGATCTGCAGCCAGACCTTTCTCTGTTTGAGTGGTGGTAAACACTGCATTTGTCAGTGCGACTAACCACACTGTTGCGTGTCCTTGTCATGGTCACACATGTGTGCTGTGACCTTAGCGTGTTTGCAGGTGGTCAAGGCCAATTAGCATAGCAAACGAGATGCGGCACAGAAAAGTCAATCAAAGGCCTAAAAATCGCTTTAAGCAGATGGGATCAGGCACGAGTATCGCGTCAAATCGATGGTAGTGAAATGCTGCAGGCGATGACCTTACAAACCAGCCGTAGCTAGAATATAAAATAAACTTTCATTTACATATCGAGCTAAATCGACCGTTTAATTTGAAACAAAGGCACGACACCCAAGCTCTCCGTGTGCTGAGCGCGTCCTGGAAGACACTCGGCAGAAAACATCCTGAGTCAGGAGTTTGTCGCGTCAGATTCGATTTGCTAAGTTTCGCTAAATGTCATGTCATGTCAAAAGGCCGACCTGATTAAAAGAAAAACCTCAAGATCTCACAGCAGTTGCCTGGCCTGCTGGCTGCAGGAAGGCCTCTCCCCAAACCCAATTAGGTCTCCACTAAAGAGAGCTCTGAGAGAACACCTTCCTTCGTGAGTCATTCCAGCTGGGAGGCTCTGTCTGACATTTCTGAACAGCTACACTGTTGCATGCCAACAAATTTAGAAAAAAAGGACATTATGAAATTTCTCTGTGCTTTAATTACTGAAGTTTTATACTTCGGACTGGAGAGTGGACAGAACATCCCCATATCACTAAAGCATTTGCAGCGTACGCCCATTAAACATGCATCTGTAACGTGCTGCCAGCCCTGCATCGTGTTTAATACGCTCCGATATGTCCAGTTTTAAATTAGGCACCATCAGGAAGAGATTCCCAGTTATAATAAATGTTACATTTCACAGAATGAAGTAAGAGAATGCCTGACTTACTTTTTCGTGGCTGAAGTCCCGCCTGGAACCTGCTAGGGTGTCCTGGAAAATGACCATCTTAATGAAGTGCACACAGTTCTGCGTGGGGCTATTAAGGATTACTGAGAAAAGCAGGCAAGGCAGAAACTGGGCTTTTACGAGCCACGGGGGGCAGGATCACCGTGAGCTCTGTCAGTCAGTGGCTGCTTTAACCCAATGGAACGCAGCCCTGAAAAGCCTGTTTTTCTTCCTAGATAACAGAACAATCTGGGATTTCAGTATCGTCTAGGATAGTTTTCTCATTCTTTCTCACGGTACTTTCCGATTGGTGGCGACCAGTTGACACTGCCATTTTGGGGGGGTGAGGGTAAAAGCTCCATCCTATGACATCCCAAGTGTAACAACCGCTACTCGGTTAGCTGTGAGAGAATATAGTAATCAGAAAACGATCTGTGCTTGGGTGGGGGCAGGGGGTGGTTAATGCTCTTTAATCCTCGACTGACGGACACTCTGGGAGCACAGACTCGAATGACAGCTCCATGAAGCATGCGACTGTCGTCAAGATGTGAGCCCAAATCAATGAGGTTGCAGAGGGGAGGCCCTGTCAGTCCGGAAGAGGGATGCTGGCTCTGCAGACACATGGAGCTTTACATTTCACACCCAGTACAGGCATTTGCACCTTTACACTCAGTGCAGGGATATGCACCTCAATACTCTACACTCAGTACAGGGATATGCACCTTTACACTCTACACGCACGCAGTACAGGGATATGCACCTTTACACTCAGTACAGGGATATGCACCTCAATACTCTACATTCAGTACAGGGATATGCACCTTTACATTCTACATGCAGTACAGTGATATGCACGTTTACACTCTACACGCAGTACAGTGATATGCACCTTTACACTCTACACACAGTACAGGGATATGCACCTTTACACTCTACACGCAGTACAGGGATATGCACCTTTACACTCAGTACAGGGATATGCACCTCAATACTCTACACTCAGTACAGGGATATGCACCTTTACACTCTACACGCAGTACAGTGATATGCACCTTTACACTCTACACTCAGTACAGGGATATGCACCTCAACACTATACACTCAGTACAGGGATATGCACCTCAACACTCTACACTCAGAACAGGCATATGCACCTCTACACTCTACACTCAGTACAGGAATATGCACCTCAACATGCTACACTCAGTACAGGGATATGCACCTCAACACTCTACACTCAGTACAGGGATATGCACCTTTACACTCTACACGCAGTACAGTGATATGCACCTTTACACTCTACACACAGCACAGACACACTGGTATGTACACTCTTGTGCAATACAGGAACACTCTACACAAAGAATCAGTTATATATTTTCATACACAGTTCCTAATGAACACAAATTCTCCACAGAAAGTCATTGACACCCATGGCTAACAAAATCACTTCTAAAATGACTATACTGGGTTGCCTACTTAAGTACATGATCATTCATTATTCCTAAATCAGTATTATACAAGACTGTCGTCCCTGACCCATTAACTATCATTACCTCCCCTTACACTCCATTTCAGTGATTATTATCAACAACAACCCTTATTAGAAGCTACTAACAAAAAAAATGTCATTCAATAATAACTTGCTATGATACACTGCTCATTTATTAGATTTTTTATGGCACTTCATTTTTTGCAAGCTTCATTTCTGAATATTAAATAATTTCGACAAAGGATTAACTTTAATAACGTTAATGACTGTTTCAAGTTCCAGTCTCTCTCCTGCTGGTAAATTAGGAAACCTTGCAGATTCTGTTAAACCGCTCCTCTGTGCACACGTGCCATGTGTCAAAAACAAGATCTATATTTAACCCAAATGGAGCCTCTCAGTCCCCAGGCTCAGAAAACTCTGGGGCTATCAAATGCTGTGGCCTCCTCATCACAGTCACCCTTGTTCACATTCATGTACATCTTTACTCATTTAACAAATGCTTTCATCCAAAGTGATGTACATAATTCAGAATTCAGGGTCAGAGAGCCCTTGGAGCAATTTGGGCTTAAGGGCTCAGGGGCCAACTGTTGAATTCACTCTACCAACCACAGAACTGGCGATCGCTGTCCAAACCCGTACAGCCACACACCGCACCCCTGCACATACCCGTCTATCCCTGCAAACTTGCTACCCTCTCGCCGGTTGCACCCATACCATCTGCAGGGCTCACTCAGGGTGCAGCCACATTTCTTGAAGGATCTGGCTGATGGCTTGACCTTTTCAGACATACAGCGGGTCAGGTACGGTGACCCTTACCGCAATCGGCCTCGTCTGAGCCATCGGCGCAGTCCGGGTCTTCGTCACACACCCACAACTTGGAGATGCAGTGCATCGTGGTCTGGCACTGGAACTGGTCGGAGGAGCAGGTGCTCTCCGCTGGAGTCCATGAAGAGAACGGTGACAGGCTTAGTAAGTACAGGGACAAAGGAGGATATTCAAACCAAACAGGCAAAAATGGACCGTGAGCTTGATCCCGAGGTTGAGAGCATAACCACTCTGCATCACACGTACAGTACAGAGAGGCACCTAACGCACAGTGTGTACAAAGCATAAGCAACTTGGTGGTGGCTGGGATGGGGAAATAACACACTGGCATTCAGGACCAGTAGGTCACCCTGATGTTTAAACTGTCTCTAAACACAAACAGCCAGGTGTTTCTCTATGAGGGAATGAAGATGTGTCTTAAAGGGGCCTTTACACTCTACATACTGTATAGTACAGACACACGTGTGTCTGCTTTGTGCATTCCCATGAGAGTATGAGAACATGCTGACTGTTTGGCACACTCTTATAGTGTAGTGTAATCCAGATCTCCAGGAACTCCTCGCCCTCATAGAATGAAAGCGCTGGATAATTCCTGCCCTCAAGACCGGATTATCCCATTAAAACCCCACCCGAGTACAGAAGTAATCTTAAGCCAAGATTAGCTATCACCTCTGTTAGCATTCCCGCACCAGACCTCCACGGGGCTTTGCCTCCTGCCCTCCGCCCCCCAGCCGCCACTGATGCTCACCCCACATTGGGCTCCGGGTGTGGAGAGACGGATCAGGGTGTCACATGTGCTTCCAGTAGGACTCTGCTCTGCTCAGCCTTTCAGTCACCCTGTTTCACGGCGGATCATCTGGGACACCAACTGATGGCTCCCTCTGACTGGCGGATCAAAGAGCTGCTTTTCTTCAGCTCCCAGAGACATCGCACGCCAGAAACTGGAGCTAGCAGCCCATCTCCGTGAACATGGGGCTCTGGCCAACCACACTGCGGCTTCACACTGCAGCTACCTCACCACCATGACGGTGCACGTAAATAACTTAAGGAGCACAGTAATGATATAATGACGTACTGTGGACCCCGGGCTGGTGGTTTATCGAGCAGGAGACTGATAAAGTGTTCATGACATGTGAGAAACCCAGGAGCAACGCTGTTATTATTATACAGCGCAGGAGGAATTTACATGCTGCCACTGAGGAAGCCGGGGAGCAGAGATTAGAGCTCACACTCCCATCTGCAATCTCCCACTCTGCTCAGCGGGAAGCAGGGCCCTGATCCTTCGTCGGAAAGCAGCGTGGGAGAAAATCACAGCGCTGCCCAACCCACCACCCGCCCCCCCGGGAGGGCTCCCTCCCATCCCCTGCAGGAACAGCGTCTTACGGCAGTCCGTCTCGTCCTCCCCGTCGCCGCAGTCGTCCTGCCCGTTGCAGCGCAGTGTCAGTGGGATGCACTTCTGCCGCCTGGTGCATTTGAACTGGCCTGACAGGCAGATATATGTGTCTGGAAGCAGATCAGCAGTGTCAGATGGGTGACCCGGGAGCCTCAGGCCACAGGACGGTGATGAGATACAAGAGAGGGATGCATGTACTCTCAGTGAGAACGTGTGCAGGCAGAACAGGGTTGGCGATCTCAAGATCAATATACTGAATGTGGCTCTGAAATGCAGATTTACTTATCACAGCAGAGATATCCTGAAAACAGTAATACGTGTATGATGTTATTTACAGAATGATCATATATGAAAGTATTTGCAGTTCCAGAGTTTCACCAAAGGCCAAAAGGAAAGGAAGGCAGGGGGCGTGGCCACCTCAACAATGTGCAGTTTTTGCCAATTTGACTCCATTCCCAAGACCTGTAACCTGGGATACTACATGAGCTTAAACTGGTATTGGCTTAGGGTCCAGATAGTGTCGGCCCATACCTGCCTCTCCCCCACATTCCAGCAAAGATGACCTCGCACACACGCCACACATTTTCCAAGCTTTTGGCTTTTGGGTCAGCATAAGTGCTCCGGGTGTCACGCATGCCAGGGGACTCCCTTACCACAGTTGGCCTCGTCTGAGTTGTCCCCACAGTCGTTCTCACCGTCACAGATGAACGGCGGGAGGGCGCAGAGGCCCGTCCCGCACTGGAACCGGCCCGGCTGGCATTTGAATTCCGCTGAAAAAATAGCATCAAACAGCTCAGACCGTCAGAGAGACAGCCTGTTGACGGCAGGCAGACAAACATGGCATTTAACAGGCCATAAAAGTGAGGAGTAGGGGGCCTGTGACACGGACAGCTGAGCTGCTGCGATTAAGAACATAGAAGTTGATTAATGATGGATGACGGGTGACAGATGAGAAGGAGGCCTCTGCATCCCACTCTGCATGATAATGCCTCTTTATTAACCCTAAGGAACATGCCGCCCCCCACCCCTAAAAATCTCCCCGATATGTGCCAGATCATAGCTGACACATTTAATACATGCTTAATAAAAAGTATGGCTTCTCAGGATCCTAGAGATCCAACAGAGTTCCATTGTTTAATCATTTTCAAAGTCTCTCAGGGTTCTTGCCACACTAGACAGATTAAAAAAGCTTAAAGGATAATGATAAAAATAATTTGAAATTAAGGAAAAAAAAAAACTAACATTAAAGAAATCAATTGTAAGAATAAAATAAGTGATTCATTCACTCAAAGGAAAAATTCCAAAGACAGTCACGTAGTTTTGCTAAGCTACTCTAAGGCAAACTTTGCACCAGCAATGAGCAGCGTGACGTCTTGGGCTCCCAGAACATGCTGTCCTGCCGGTGAACCCTTAAGAAGGGTCCTGACGTAACTCATATACACATCATGCAAAAGTGAAGGATGATGAATCACCACGGCGATGTGACTCACGGCAGTCGGCCGGCTCGTCGGACCCGTCGCCGCAGTCGTCCACCGTGTCGCACTTCCACCAGAAGGGGATGCACTCATCTGTCCCGCATCGGAACTGCATGGGAGAAACGGGAAAAGAGGTGGTTAGGAGACGGCGCTACCCAACGGCAGCCAGGAAGAGATTCGCCTTGGCAGCCCCAGGGTCTCCAGTATTGCTCTTCAAACTCCATGCTTAGTGCACACATCCATCTGTTATTTCCACACCTGCTGTAACATTTTCTGGGTTCGTGCTGCAGTTTCACATCTGCCATGAGCTGTAGCTCATGGATGAGCAGCACGATGCTACTATTCCCACTCAGCTAGCTGGAGATCCAGTGATCCATTCTAGTTGGGTGGCCTCTCCCCTGTCTAACCAGGAAGGCAGATATATCGACAGGTATATCGTGATGAGCCTTGTTATCCCGGGCACGACTTTCCTCTACCTTCTTCAGTCTAACATGTGGATCCCGGAGAGTGCAGGGTGACCACACACCTGGCTGGAGGTGCAGTTGGACAAGCAGGTCTTGTTGTCGGCAGCAAGGTAGAAATTGGAGGGGCAGGCGCACTTGTGGCCCCCCCCTGGTGAGAGCAGACACAGGTGGCTGCACCCCGCATTGGCTACCTGGCACGGGTGCTTGGGCACTGTGCAAAAAACAGGCAGAATTAGGGTAGGATATGGCAGAGGAGTTAGCAGCTAGGAGGCTGTATCATTACCAAAAACCAAAAGAAAAGATGGCATTTGGATATAGTATAGGGGAGAGTTAGTGGCTAGTAGGCTGTATCATTACCAAAAACCCACAAAACAAGCAGTGTTTGGGTGGAGTACAGGGTGTGTTAGTGCGTTTTTCTTTACCAAAAACAAAATAGGCAAGGCCACAGCCAACTAATTACCATCAGGCTGGCGGTAGGGGTGGTACACCTTCACGTCACTTATGACATGCCAGGAGCTAAGCAGTTCCATCTGTCCCACCCCCGACGTCTTGTGGGCACGGCTGAGGGACCTGGACTTCCCATCCGTCCAATAGATGTAGTCTTCAAAGAGTGTGAGCCCCATCACCCCATGGACTTTCAGGAGAGGCACTGCAGGTGGAAAGTGACAGGCATTAAGCAGGACTCCTTGTGGGGCTTTCAATAAATAAGACTCAAAGTTCAAAGGCCCCCAAATGCTTGCAAAAGGAAGTAAATTATCAGTATTGTAAGAAAGACCCATCCAGTCATCTTGAAAGCACAGGGTCAGGGGAACGACACAAGATGAATAAAGGAAACGCTCGCCTTGGAATTTCAATCTTTCTGATTCAGCTGAAAAGCTGATGGTGATCTGTCCTTTTGAAACAGAAAGGTCTGGTTTGTTAAAGAGCATCAAGAATGGATGCACAAATTCTACTGCATTTAACTCACTGAATAGCTAAACCAAGAAAAGACAGATTGGGTCAATTAGCATCACTTCTAATTAACGGCTTGCTTTGAAAAGCGCTTACTGTGTGTGAAACTGCGCTATTTTATTTTTTTGGCACACTTTACTTTAAACAATAAGTTTGAAAGTCATGTTTCCCCCCTATATTTGAAGGAGCAGCTTCAGCTTAAGTGCTTTTAAAATAATAATTACCTTCAGCAGGTTTTGAATAAGCTGACTTCAGGTTCTTAACTGATGTACACATAACAGTTATTTTCACCTATCATTTTACATTGAAACAAAACAAATCAAAATGAACTCATGGAAATGTACAAAACATACAAGCGGGTAGCAGCCTGAACTGCAAAGGTAAGAGCAGGACTGGTTGTCTCCTAACCGCTGAGACCTTAATGTAAGGAGGGGAAAACTATGTCAGAGGGTTACAAGCACACAAATACACACAAGATGATGAAAGGGCTCAAGCAGAGAGACACTCCACTGATGCACTGTTGTTCCAAACAGAGCAGCTCTGAGGACCCAGTGGGGGTCAAGATTGAACTGAACACCTAAGCTCTCATATCTTATTATGCATTGCAGTTCTGTTACCATATTTGCATTGGCTGCCAGTAAATTCTAGAACAGATTTCTAAGGGTTTTTTAATTGGTTTTAAAGCTCGTAATGGTTTAGCACCTGGGTCTACTGCAGTAATCTGCAGTTTATTGTCTGTATATTGGCCATACTCCGGCAGATGAGACCAATTAAGGCAATGTAAACTGGCCAAGGATGACAGGAATGGCGGGCATTGAGTGATTCAGTAGGTTAAGGTCTGTCCTAGGGATGTGCGTCTCCATCTCTGAGACCAACGGCATACACATATAAATGCATTGCCAAAGATCCGACACATTAAAGATTCATATGAAGCAGTACAGATGTGATACAATATGATTCACCCCTATTGCAATGCAATGCGATTCAACATGATTCGATTCAACGGGGAATGATACGATGCAAAAGAAAATGATGCTGTGCAATTCAATACGGTACAGATAGTTTTTATTTCTTTGGTTATTCTGAAGCAGACAGCAAATAATCCATCACACTTCTAATAATAAAGGCATTGGGCCTCTACTAATAATTATATATATAAATACATCAGATTTTACCGATGCAAAGATGCAAATCGGAGAATCTTACCATCCCTAGTCTGTGCCCGTGTCCAGAAGGTTATGGGTTCAAACAGTGTGGTAATGGTATCAGCACTGGGCTCTTGAGTAAGGCTCTAAACACTAAGGGACAGACCATGCTAAATAAATTTTTGCTTCTGAGTATCTCTTACCATTGACTGTTTGTCATGCGTATTTTTGGCAGGCCCTTTTCAGGTGGCTATCTTGGGGAGGGGGGGGACTCCTCACTGACCTTTATGCCGGTGAGAGCCGTCCAGGTTTGTGAGCCAGATGTGGTTGTCGTCGACCCAGTAGAGCCTTTTATTGACATAATCGATGGTTAGGGCTGTGGGCCGGTGGATCTGTGTGTCGACAATCACGGTGGGATTGCTGCCGTCCATGCCACTACGGCCCAAGTGCGGGTACTCGCAGCAGTCAGCCCAGAAGACGTACCTACGAGCAGTCAGCAGAAATAACAGCGTAGCTGTAGACCTCAGGTAAATCGGGGCTCACTTTCATCATTATGCACATAAAAACATGACGAGCTAGATGTATGTAGAAGTTCAGAAACTATAGTGGAGGTGGTATTATTGACAGAAATGACATATGCTCTTGTAACTGTAGAGGTAGAGCTGGTTTAATGGGACGGTATTAAGACACATGAATCCAGTGTCCTGTGAGCAGCCACTGCTGATCCACGCAGGATCAGTCACATGATTCGCACCCACCCCATCTGGGGGTCCAGGCACAGTCCTGTGGGCCCCCTGAGGCCCGAGCTGATGAGGACGGTGGGATAGAGGCCATTGACCTTGGACACCTCCAGGACCTTCTTCTCCACGTCATACCAGTACAGGTTCTTCCCGATCCAGTCCACTGCCAGGGTGCTGGGAACTGCCGTTCGATGGACTATCTGGGAAGATAAACACTGAGACAGTGAAGCTGTCCAGCCTGCGGGGGACCACATGTACAATATTCCCCTGAAATATCCATCGGCCCACTGCTTCCTCGACATGCTCCACTCATAGCTGCACCCTTGTGCAAATGAATTTAAACAAGCTGTCGCATCTATATGCAGACAGATTGACCAAAGTTAAGACCGACATCACAGTCAGATTAATTCATACTTATCCCAAGGCAATTTAGGACCTACCTGGCAGATTGATAAAAATCATATCGGAATAACCCAAGATGGGCCGCCAATTGATCTCAGGGCAAACATACCATTCATGCCTATGGGGAATTTGGCAAATCCAATTAACCTTAGCATGCTTTAGGACTGTGGTGGGGGGGGGGGAGACCACAAAACCAGGAGAAAACCCCACAACAACACGGGGAGGTGCCCGAACCCCAGAGCATTCACTTGAAGCATACATGGATGGCTGAAGCACAGTCATGCCACCTAATTCTAACCCCACATGAGCAGGCCTGCCAGTCTGTGGGCACAGTGCCTCCTCTGTCCATCCACTCAGCTCTAACCCCACCCGAGCAGGCCTGCCAGTCTGTGGGCACAGTGCCTCCTCTGTCCATCCACTCAGCTCTAACCCCACCCGAGCAGGCCTGCCGGTCTGTGGGCACAGTGCCTCCTCTGTCCATCCACTCAGCTCTAACCCCACCCGAGCAGGCCAGCCAGTCTGTGGGCACAGTGCCTCCTCTGTCCATCCACTCAGCGTACTCTCTGCCCTGTACCCTCAGCAGGTCCTAGGCCACTGCCTGTATGTCTGTATGAAAACTTGCTTCAATTAATTTGCACAAGGGTGTAATTTCTGTCAATTTTAATTCCTCAGGAAATCAGTTCAGTATTTTTTTTTTTTTAACTTTTCCTAAAAATTCAGGATGGAAGGGAAAGCGTGACCAAAAAATATCAACTATTCCCCCTACCACAAAACTCTATGCCACCAACTGCCAGTCAGTAATTAGTATTATGAGTGAATGATTGTCCTGAGCTCGCATCAGATGGGAAAGAGTCACCAAGAAAACAAAAATGGAGGCTGTCAGACAGATGCCATATGTTTCTGTCTAAATCACGTTTAAACTGCCAGTTCAGAGAGGGAAAACTTGTAATCCCAGAAAACACCCTCAAATTACCCCAGCTGCAAAGCCACCGTCAATTAAAGACCTGCATCACGTGCAGTAATTCACAGCATCCAAACCAATCAGTGCACTTACTCAGAGCTCTTTTTACTCAAACCAAAACATGGAGATTCATTAATTCCTCACATGCATCAAGCACCCCCCCACCCCAGACAGATGATAACCAGTTTGGAGAAAATCTGCTACATAAATCTGTCCCCGCTAAACGGCACTTCAAGCAGACTTAAAAAGACACTGCACACAATCTGCTCGTGCGAGTAACGACATGCTCTGACATTTTGCAAACGACCATTTAATGGCAGCAGCGCACCAAAGCCGTCGGGCTGCATGACGGGTGTTCTGCCTAGAAGCGGTAATTAAGAACTAGCAACACTTCTCCAAACTCCTGAAATGTGACATCTCACACAGTTCTACCTCATCAAAGCAAGAAAAAGAAAGGTAAAAGGCAAAGGAGGAAGCCACATTCAACAGTCAGGGATGCCTTCTTGCATCGATTTCAAAGATCAACTTATCAAAAGCATGAAGGTTAAGCTGATGCAGAACGTCAACATTGAAACGCATCAAGGTAAACAATCTGACAAACACGAATTTAGCCTCCCTTCCTTGATTTTTCCGTTGGTCCTCAGTATTATATGTTTAAGTTTGGTTTGAAAAGTCTGTGGCAACAGTAACTTTTTAAAGACCATGTTTGGAGAATCACCAGATGTTCTCCTGGGACACCCACAAGTGATCACAGGTACAGTTTAGGAAAACGTGCTCAAGCTTTCTGGGATTTGTGGATCCAACACAAGACAAGAAGGTTGTTCCAGGCTACACGTCTGTAAAGTTTATGGTTCTGAAGGGATGTAATTGATCTTGAAGGCTGAACCCAGCCTCCATACTGCTTGTGTGGAGTTATACCACATGTTATACCCTCTAAAGTCTCCCTGGAAGGGATGCCATGGATCTACTGTATGGATTCGTTATGGAAAAAAAATAACGTTTCATAAAGTCCACCAAATGCTAACTTATCTCAGAAAAGTGTGTAAATGCATTTTGTGGTACTAAGCATTAATGGATTGTAATAAGTTTAATCAGAACATCTACTGTCCAAGAGTCACGGACTGTATGCACATTCATTTGGGATTAGCCCAGAAACGATGGCTATCTGGGGACCATGGCTGAGGCAGTGATTTTGTCTTACTCTGCACTTTCCATTCCTTTCCTGCAGTCACTCTAGAGAAGACCCGCTCGGTGACATCGCCTTTGTTACAGGAATCATTAAATAATTGAAAGGGCAGAAAATCATATTAATTTTAAAACAATCTAGCTGATGCTATGCAGCATTACTAAATCAAAGGGAAATCTTGCGTTTGATGAAGCGTAATGAGTCATTATCCCCTTAAAGTAGAGATAATGACACAAGGGTACATGGCACAGTCACTGGGCATCAGTCATGTGATCACGGTGTGGCCAGTTGGGAGTCGTATCCCCTTTGTCCCACCCCCTCCTTAGGATTCCAGAGACACGGCTCCCCCAGTAAACACCCATGGGCTGGATGCCCTGTCAGCTGGTTCATTGCACAGCGTAAGGTTACATGAACACAATCAGTTTGGAGCATGCACATTTACAATAATCTGCCCCCAAGCAGCATTAGAAATATATAATCCCTGAAATTAGAGTTGTGGTTTTATAAGCCACGCTGGAGTGTCCTCAGATGCTCACTTCATCAAAAGCTCCCCTTAAAGTGATAGAAGAACCCCGTCATAAAGTTAAACCATCTGCCAAAGGACAAACATATCCATTTCCCAGAAGGCTCTGAGGTGACCCTCCCGAAAGGGACTTGACCCCCCTTAAGAGCCGGGGGCACGGAGGGGGAACGCACATTAAGCCATTGGCACCGTCATACCTTGAGGTCACTCCCGTTCAGGCGTATCCTATTTATCCGCCGTCCACTGGGCCTGCTGGAGTCGATCCAGTATATGAACTCCTTCCTGTAGTCGAAGTCGGCCGCCATGATGTTACTGAGGCCCTGTGAAGAACATGAACGTCTGAGGTGGTGACACGCTCTGGCTGGGTATTTCCCCGCCGGTCACGTCGGCTCTGCCGAACAGCAAAGAGTGACATGCTGCACTTTAATCTCAGCTAGGTGAGGGAGCTGGGGATTTCACCACACCAAAGAGTCACAGACGTGCCCATCATGTTGAAACCTCTCTGCACAGCGTTATTCTGTATTTGCATGTCACACATTTACGCAATGACACATTATTAATAACAATATTGATCCATTTAAGCGGTTATTTCCGAGTCATTCCTGTAGATTTCCTTGCACCCATGCTAGCTCAGTGCAACTGAATCGCTGAACGTGCCCGTGACTGCAGCATGGATTCCTCCAGTCAGGAAATTCACCACTTGCATGTAAAGGTCAGTCCTCAGGCATCTCCAGCACTTCCTGGACGGCAGCCAGATTTACATTAGTTGGAGCAGTACAATTATGCGTTGTGACAAATAAAGACTTGCAATCTTGAAATCTCTCTGCATCAGCAACACTCACAAAGAGATCTTCGTCCCTCCCTAGAAATCATGTCCCATTTTACACTTAATACCCTCAACTAGGTAATGTCTGAAACATTAGCATCCCTGTCTGCGCAGAATCGACTTAAAGCAGCGGCTGCGTATAAATGCCTCGCTGGTGATGTATGGAACGGGCACTGAACTTTATGGCTCCAATTAGCAGCTTTTCTTTGCACGTCGGCATGTTGGCTGGCTGCGGTGATAACTGTGTTATCATGGGAATGTCACAAAGGCCATGTGATGTGGCTCTACTCATGCCTGTTAACTGACAAAAAGAAGCAGCACAAGGGGCCCCTGAAGCCAGCAGGGGCACCAAATATCCCACGGGCCTTTTATGATTCTATTTTAGTTTCATTGACTTTTGTATAGTCAGCAGTCAGGCCTACTGTAAGACCCAAGCATCACTGTCACTATGTGTTCAAGGCCAGGAATCACGATGTGGACCGCAGGGTGACTGTGACATCTGTGATGTGTAAGATAGACATCTACTAAGATCTCAGTCTATTGACTGATTACTCACCACAACGAATGCAAAGGCAATACAGATAAGCATCGTCACACTTGAGTAATCATGAATTAATTACTATTCTAACGGACTGGCAGATTCCACGCATTGTAAAGCTGACGGATTTCCCTAGGCTGCTGATTTGTCTTCATTTACGGTGAGTTAACCCGAGTAGCGCACAGTTTATCAGACATAAGACTGACAGTGAGAACACACCACACTCCTTCACGTTTATCCAGTAAGCAATTTCTGAAATAGGTGGCATTTTAAGAAAGTGCCAGCTTCAGTGTCCATGGAAGCCTGTCATGCTGAGAGCGTTTGATGAGCGGTTTTCGGTCCCTGCGTCACTCATAGAAGCAGAGGGAGGTCATTTCAAGCTTCACATGAGCAATTGATAACATTATATGTCCTCACGGCCCTCTTATCGACCTAAATGGCATTGAGGCTCCAGGCCGCCAAGGTTACGATGTTATAACATGCACGCGTCATGTTCGTCAGACGCCAGCCATCGTACCTGCTTCAGTAGTGTGTAGTTGGAGCCGTCGATGCTCATCTTCCGGATCTCGTGGTGGTCAGCTAGGATGAGGAATGGCTCCTCACCTGTGATGGAACATGAACAAAAAAAACCACACTGGCAGGTCTCTGCATGAAACACAGCTTCAGCCACCAGTGGTCTAACCTCACAGGCGTTTCAGTGGAAAAGGCTAAAGGGCCTTTTAAATTGAGCTGAACACAGTCTAGTCGTTACCCATAATCCACTGCTCCTACAAGTCCCCGACCCTGAGAAGCATCCCTCACAAACCAGCAAGCAGCTTTTCCTACAGAAATCTGTCTGCTCGTGGTGACTGTTGTTAGCTGCACCCCAGGCCTGTCCCCAAAAAACTAAAAGTCGCAGCCATCGCTCACAGGCCTGAGATAATTACCCGGCAGCTCCAATTAGTCCCACAGAAACCAATCAGCAGGAAGGTATGTGACAATGGGGGGTGGGGGGGTTGATGGATGCGTGGCGGGAATACCTGAAAGGGACCTGCAGCTGTCCGGACTGTGGGCCGGCACCCTGTAGCCATCCACGCAGGAACACCGGTATGAGCCGTAGGTGTTGATGCAGGACTGGCTGCACGGGAGCGAGGAGGAGCACTCATCCACATCCACGCAGGTCCTGCCGTCCTCCTTCAGCTGAAAGCCTGGCCAGCATTTGCACTAGATGCACAAGAATGAAGATAGTGGGAAGCTTGGAAGATGCATTTCACCACTACAAATCAAGCCTGCCGCTGCATGTTTGCCTGCAATATTTAGTATAATCACAGGTGATGATCACAGAAGAGAGCTCAACGTAAGATTTGTGTTTCCAGCTACGGGCAGCAGCATGAATTAAGCGAATCAGAATCAATTCAGACGAATCACAAATCCCCGCAAAAAGTGACATTTAGAACAAGTACCCAGCAGTCACATATCTCTGCTAAGCATTCTTGATCATAAGCCCCTGATTTTAATACATAATGCATTTTGTTAGCAGCACGGGACTAAAAAAGTAAGAGAATGTGGAACAGTGAATGTTTCTGCGGAGAGCTGGAAAGGAGGACCATCCTGCGGGTACCAGTCTCACGCTGGATGCTCTTCTAACATGGTCTATATTCACTCATAACACTTTCATTGGCAGCATTATCCCCAAATCGTCCATCTTCCAGCTTAATTCTCACCTTGCAGTCAGGACTTCCCTGAATGTCAACTTTTAACCATTGACCTTTAACCCTTAACCCAACACCTGGATGCTCACATCGCTCTGGGAACAGCTTATGCATTTCTTAAATCAATATCTCCCAAGGCCATTGGCTCATCACCCTCCCTCACAGCACAGAGACCAGGGCCCAGGTCCCCTGCAGTCTCGGGAATGCCCCGCCTCTTCTGCACATGCCCCATCAGTCTCCCAGGTCTCCTGCAGTCCCGGGAATAAAGACGCATTGCCGTCTTTAACACCATGACCCAGCACGCTTGCTCAGGCTTGATTAATACTTTTATTTTCTTCTGGGCTCCTGTCACTGAGGAGGAGAAGTGGACAGCAAAGGGGGATATACACCTCGGACACTAGAGTGAACTAATTACAGATGTGAATAAACTCCGTAAATGCACCTTGTGTAAGGAAAGCAGGGCACAGATGTTCAGTGGCGACAGAATGTTGTCAGTGTCAGGGTCAGCTCCCGTCCCCGGCCCTTCATGTCTCCCTGTTTGGTCAGCAGGTGTTGCTGGCTGCCCTGTACTCCTCACTCTCTCTGGTCTTTCAGCCCCAGTGTGCCCTTCCCTTTCCTCAAATTTTTGCATGGCTCAAGAGGTTGTGCGTGTGGCTCTGAGAATGTTAACCCTTTGGTTATGAGTTCAAGGCCAGCCTCCTCTGTTTATTTAGTACTAAACTATAAGTTTCTATAAGTTTTCTTGTCCCAGATTTGTGGTTTGTGTTCTGTTTTGGTTTTTGCTTCGTGCCTTTTGTGGTTATGTATTACTTGTGTTTGTCTTCCCTACTGTTAGATTCTGTTTCATAGTTTACCTGTTAGTGTCTTAGTTCCATGATTAAGTTTATTATATCTACCTACAGTATTACCCAGCGCCTCATTATTGATTGTTCTGCCTGATTGCTCGTTGTCCTGTGCCCGCTGTGATTAGTTTATTGTTTCATTGTTCGCTCCTGCTTCTTTGTTATCTGGTTCAGTTTTGTGTATTTAAGTACCTGCATTTGTCCTGCACCATTGTGAATGTTACTGTGTTTGGTCCTGGTTCTATGGCTGTGGTCAATTCCCTGTGTTTTTGCTTAAGTTCTTTGTTTGTTTTATTTCATGGTTTTAGCTAATTCAGTCTAGCTCCCTGTTTGTTTTCTGACCCCTCGGGGTCCTTTTGGTTTTGTAGTTTTACCCTGTGTGTTAGATCTCCCAAGAAACCCCTTTTTGTCTTGGAGCTGCTAGTGAATCATCACCTCTGTCCATCCTGCGCCATGCCTCAATCCAAAACAGTGAGAGCGAGGCCCACGGCGGGTGCAGACCTTGTATCCGACAGGAAGGTCCTGGCAGTCCTGTGTGCAGCCGCTGACACGACGGTTCAGGCACTCGTTGACGTGGCAGCTGTGTTCGTCTGAGTGGTCACCACAGTCGTCACGGCCGTCGCAGAGCCCCGCTGCAGGAACGCAGCGGCCATTGGCGCACATGAAGAAGGAGCCGTTGCACAGGCTCTCTGGGAAGGGAGGGCGGTGGATTCGAGTCAGTGACGGACACAGGAAGGACGGGCCCGTGGGGAAATTAACAACCTGAAAAATCACAGCCTTCTGATATAGGCGCAAAGAGGAAACACCAAAGGGAGACTAATAAAATCAGCAGATTAAAAGCTGAATTATTGATCTGGGAGCCTGCAGTGAGAGGGAGAGGCCCGAGGCCTGCAGTCAGGCCACTCCAGAACCCGTGACTGACGGCTCAGTACCCAGGCCCAACTGTAACTGCGCAGGCTCTGTGACTCCAAAACACCTCAGTTTTATGAATGATCTGCCACATTTTTTGGCTTGCTGTGTGTGTTCAGCTGGATCTTCCCCAAACAGTCTTGGCCAATTTGGCCTTTTTTTCTACACAGAACACAAAATTTGCTGCCATTTCTGACATAAATGGAGGGGATGGGGCCCCTGGTTTCACAATCTTCAAAATGTAATAACGTGGAGAGACAGGAAGTCTGAAGCACTGTTTGGAGATGAACCAAAACAAATAACGCAGAGCACTGTCAGCGTCTCCCCACCGTGAGCGTAGCTCATACTCCCATCCCCCCAATTCCCTCCCCCCCATGCAAGTTCTTGCCTGCGGCTGAGCACTTCGGATTCAGTGGCAGTTCATCGGAGCCATCCAGACAGTCAGGGGCACCGTCGCACTCCCACTGTGCACTGGGCAGGCAGCGTCCGTCTGCGCAGCGGAATCCAGCATCATCGCAGGCTCGGTACTCTGCACACGACACGGGCACAAGGGTCATCAGCCAGTGTCTTCTTACCTAAATATAGTGTCAGGAATCCTTGAGGTTATGGTGCCAGTCATGTGGTCTAAGGTTTGCAGGATGAGTGGACTCTGTTGCTGGACCTCTCAAATATTAAATCAGGTTTGAATTTTGGCTCAGTCAGGCTTCCATGAACCGCGTCTCTCCTGAAATGGACATCAACGTGGTGCATGCGACTGGATTTATTTGAATTTTTGTTTCGTGTCAGGTGGTGTGTAAACGGAATCATTGAGAAGTGACGCACAGCCTTGTTTTCCCTCCAATAGATGGCTGAGTCAGGTGACCAAGTCTGAGAAGCACAGCAGCATGGCCCAACAGTATGTTTGAGCACCATATGGATCAGTGAACGCACTCTGCAAAGAGGTACCGCATCACATTGCCACCCTCAGGCAGGTATTGGGCAGGCTGATGATGACCACATGACTGGTGGGCGGCGGCCACTTGCCACATTCCGGCGACTCATCAGAGCCATCGCCACAGTCGTTGTCACGGTCACACACGAATCGCTTGGGAACACAGAGCTGGTTGCGGCACAGGAAGGTGCTGTCATCACACGTGATGTTGGGCGCTGCAGAGGAAAGAGGCAAAATGGGTCGCAGTTCAACTGCAGGATTGTGCGGCTCACCACTGGTGCTACAGCCCAGTGCATGCTGGGTAGGTGCTACCACCTCCTCACTTTATGTCAGTCATGTAGTCATTGGTGGGAAGTTAAATGTTATTTAAAACCCTTTTAAGAGTAATAAAGACGTGCCTGTGCTAACTGCGACCCCCAGATTAAAGCTGTCACCCGTATGATAAGATAACATATTATTAATGTCCATGGGGTGGGGGATTTCTTTATTAAATTAATTCATTAATTAATTAAGAACCGAAAAGTATAAAAGCTAAGAACTTATAGTATATAGATAAGATGAAAGTAAGAGCAATTGGGAGTGTGTATCACAAGCAGGATTCCTTTGCATGTCTGTGTGTTTGTGTGTGTGTATGTGTGTGTGTGTGTGTGTATGCAAGAATGTGCACATGTGTCATTACCGCAGCCAGCAGCTGCCAGTTCGTCACTGCCGTCGGGACAATCTCTCTCGCCGTCACAGAGCCAACGCTGGGGCACGCAGGCGTGTGACCCGGGGCAGCTGAACAGGCCTGGGGCACAGGTTACAGAGCCTGGGGGGGGAAGGCGCGAGGGGGATTGGTACTCTGAGAGAGCTTCATTGCTCTTGGGGAACGTCGGGAGGGTGAGGTATGAGGTAAGTGCAGGATTCTACACATGAGCCCCGGCCGCTCCAAAATCAACATTTTAGGACTGAAAATATAAACCTGTCGACTCCTATAGCTCCCAGGAGACACTGGATTACGCTAGACGTATTTGTCTTTCCAAACGACCCGGTTCCCTTCAGCAAAATCCAATTATTCCCGAAATCACCTCCGAGAAGTGGTTTCTGACACAAACCCAAAAGATCGGCCCCTTCCGGCTTAATTCTGGGCAACAGTGTGCCGCTGAACGCGGTCTCTGCATGGTAATGCCACTGAGGCCCTATGCTGCTCCCCTTTAATTTGTTTACGTGGTTGAAACTCCATCGAAACAAACAGCACATGAAAGATAGCCCAGACTTCGCAGAAAACGCAGTGTTTTCACTTTCACGTTTAATTTGTTTAATTAGTTCAATTCCCTTGAACAAAATGATTAAAAAGGCACACTACAGGTCTGACGCCGAACCGTTTAATTAATTTTCAAACAATCTGCAGAAATTCATTCTCGGGTGTCAGCGGGCCCGGCTCCCCGGCATCGTCAGGATATTAATTTGCATCCCTCTCAGCTGGGGGGTGGGACTCACCGCACACCTCCTCACTCTCGTCCAGCCCCTCGCCGCAGTCGTCCTCGCCGTCACACAGCCACTGCTTGGCGATGCACTTGTTCTTGGAGCAGGCAAACTGGTTCCATAGGCAGGAGGAGTCTGAGAATGAGCGGGAGCGGGATCAGGGAGCACGGGGATGCAGAGATTGCTGCCCCCGGATCCTTCCAATTGTGACGTTTGTGGTTTTTACTACAACACAGCATGCAAACAGACCTGACAAACAGAACCTAAACTCAAGCCCTGGGCCGCTAGGGTGAAATCTGTGATGTGTGTGCACACTGCTATGTGTGAATCTTGCCATTTGTGTGTGCGTTTCACTTTCCCTCAGGGACCAGCGGCACCATGACCCACACATGCCGTTTGAAGGCTTCAAGAAAATCCGTCCGACCCTTTTACTAAAGCGTGCTCCCACCTTAAAGCAGACAGGCATTCAGTAAGCATGACACTTCAAAACTAGTGCAGTAGCACATTCATACATATTCAAGTGTAGTAAACAACCCCATCCCCCCCATGATCCACACACTTATTTTGGGACTGGAGGGGCTCGAGCTTATGTCGCTATGCCAAACCAATGACAGGGACCCCAGAAAACAAAGCACCCTGCTGCCCACTCTGGGCCCGAGACTCACCAAATGCTTCCTGCTCTTAAGCATCCCCTCCAACAGCCCTAGGAGGCTCCTTTGCCAAATAAAAAAGCCTTTTGCTTCAGAAGGCGCCACCAAGGGGTGTGTTTTGTGCACTGTGCCGTCATCAAAGAAGGCTAAGTCCCTCAGATAGCACTGATCCCCAACAGACAGAAGTGGCTGGTCAATAAATACGTTATGATGGCAAGACCCAGGGAGAAAGTCTGGCCTCCTGGATCATACAGAGTAGAGTCAGCTGACAGTTGCTGCTCATTTCCTGTGCGGCCTGCCTCAGCCATCGTGAGCCTGAACGATACAACTCATTTTACATTATTTACCCAGGTAATACAGCAAACACAAGCAGACCACATAATCATCGCTGACATTGCCTTATTGTAACAGAAAAGGGCAGCCATATCTCTACAGATCATTCAATCTTTCTCCATTTACTGCTATTTTCCAGCATCAGGACTCTGTTTTATATGATAATTCACTTTACAGGGGAAACACCATAAATGTCCCCTGTAAGGAGGAAAGGCCACCTTATGAAAACCTACAGAAGCAGCAGGCCTAGCTCTGGATTGTAACTAGACACAGGCATTAAAACACGAAAAGGCTGTTTTTATGATCATTTCCACATTTCTGCTACTGCTGCACATCCATAACTCTGTGCTAGGGAATGCAAGGAAACATTTACATTCACCATTTTTTATCTGGAAATAAACCTGCAATTCATTCCAGTTTAGGACAAAATGGTTTTCCATCAAAGCACAGGTACATTATAACCATGTACAGGGATTCACAGCGAATCACAGCTGCTGTTTTGTTAGCTTGTGGGAGTTCTACTTACGCAAAAATAAAAATGATTGGTTCCGAGAGATACCCAATCAGATTGCAGAGGAGGTGGGTCCAAGCAACTAGAGGAGGCGGGACCAAGAGATCTGGTCAGTAAACGTCAGGACAATACGCTCCCCTTGCTGGCACTTGGTGTAATGTTGGGCTAATGCAGGTATACCACACATATTCGGTATTACCACAAAAGCCTGCAAAGCTTTTACATTAATTTTTAGTTAATTAGCAACAGTTTTTAAGCAACATACATGTTTTGGAGAGAGCAAGGAAAACTGGGGGTTATAGCTGTAACTCCATGTGAGGACAAAAAACAGTAAACAGCTAGAGACATAAATCTGGCATCGCAGGCCTGGCCCACTCCTGCAACTGCACACCTGACTCCAATTGATGAACTACTCATTGAAGCAGTGAACACCTGAATCAGCTGGGCTGCTGCTTTGACAGGATAGAGCAAATATGCAGACGAGCCAGGGGCTGCTGGTCTTAAATGGGAGATGGAGTGTTTTATTTCTGAAGGAAAATGAGTGAATGGAGGTGTAATTTCGCCGACCAAGTGTGCAGCAAGCTGAGGCCCTTAGGAATGACAGTAATCATTCCAGAAGCTACTGGCACGTGGGCTTTCCGGGCTTTTATTTCCGTGAAGGACGGTGCTGGAAAGCCTTTCAGGTGCAATTTCAGGTCCCTGCCATTATTTTCCACTTGGAAATGAGCCAATGATCATAAGAGCCCAAGGCAAAACTTACAATAAGGTCCCCAAGCCATTGTGTCTCTAACAGAGGATAAATGCATGCTGTAATTAGTAGCTGAAAATGGGAAATAAGGGGACAATTTCACCCCACGATTGGTATGCTGAGGAAACAGAAGGACAAGACAGAATGTTCAGGGTGCACCTGAACAGAAGGATGAGGCAGAGACGTTCAGGGTGGAACGGGACAAAAGAATGGGACAGAAATGTTCAGGGTACGCTTGGACAAAAGGACGCAATGGAAATGTTCAGGGGGAGCCTGAACAGCAGGATGAGACAGAAACGTTCTGGAGATACAGGAAGAGCAGGTAACCACCCTGGGGGTGTGAGGTAACAGCCACACCCCGGACTGATATACCCAGGGGCTAATACTCTGGGGTCCAACCTTAATTAAAAAATACATACTAATTGGTGCAAACAGTAAAGGCTTGTACTGAGAAAAGAAACTGCACATCACCCAGTGTAAAAGAAAAAAAAGAGAAATCAGAAATCATTCACAATAATCTGTCTGTTGGAGACCTAAGTTCAGTGCTGACAGAGCGAGATTAATATTCCTATCTATTTTAATTGATGCATAAGGACCTCATCATTCAAGCCAGACAATTGTGCTAAGCAACAGCATTCCGTTAAAAGCAATCCAGAATAATTGCCTTTGAGCCCTTTGCTATAATTTGATTTTCATGAAAAAAATTAAGTGAGTTTTTTACTTTGCTGTACTAATGAATTAATGAAATGTGTCATCTGCGCGTCAAGCCAAGAATCATGTTTGAGTAACTTCACAATGAACCACAGCAAACTAACAGTCACGATGTGTGATGCAGATCTCCAGCAAACGCAATGACCTCTGCCCGCTGCGTAATATCTCATTACGATGCACGCCGGGACTCAGTTCGACACCTCGACACAGTGGGTCATCAGCTTGACCAGGCCGTGGACTTATCATTCAAATGGGAGAGTCAGATAATCCGAAGGTCCAGCCATGTAGCCAGAGTCCAGGACGACCTTGACCATGTGCAGAGAAGCTCGATAGGACAGGCCGGCATTGCACGGATAAAGACGATCGATTCCCCAGCATTGGGGCGAGAGTACAGATGCTAACAGCAGCTGTTTGCTAGTGCTAGCCAACGCTGCGCTACTGAGCATCAGAAAGCGGGTACTCTGGTATGCCAGGCCTGCCTTTTGATGCTGACCGACAGGTGGTTTTACTCGCCCTCCTGTCCCTTCCGCAGGAAGTTGGGTTGGAGAGGAGGATGCCCCGGGGTGCCGCTCACCACACTGAAACTCATCCGCTCCATCCTCACAGTCCTTCTGGCCATCGCACAGCCACACACTGGAGATGCAGTTTCCGCCTGGGCAGGCAAAATGACCATCCTCGCAGAGGTGTCCGGTGGACGCTGTGGACACATTAAGCCAAAAAATAAATCCTATTTCTGCTCCCTAACCAAAAGCAGACAGGCAGTCAAAATATGGCAGCTTGATTTCCCAGCAGGCACGAGGACTCTCCTCAGTCTTATGCATATTAATGTGCTCCACTTGCCCCTTGTTCTGAATAGGAGTTTATGCTGTTAATTCGCCACTGTGACCGGTGAAGGTGAGGTCCTCCTGCAGGACATCCAGCTGTATTAGTCCGGCTCAGTTACGCCGGTCGCTTTGGATAAAAACAAACACACTACAGCTGCCTGGCTGCCTGCCCACGAGCCATACTCCATGAGGATCAGCTTCCAGAAGCACGTGCTGTTCTGAGGCCTCTAAGTGACATCTACATTTTTATTTATTTAGCATTTAGCACTTATCTGCTTCAGCTCCTGTTTTGAATGTGCTTGGATGTCATTTCATGTTTTACTCGGAAGCCAGATCTTCACCTTGGACACATGATCCTAGCTCTTGTCCCACACAACGGTAACTCACCACGGCATCCCATCTCATCCGCAAGATCCCCGCAGTCGTTGGCTCCGTCGCAAACCCAGGACGGGTGGATGCAGAGGGAGGTGGAGTTACAGCTGACAAATCCGTGCTCCTTCACTCCCAGTCGGTAGAAGTTGGAGCAGTCCGTGTTGTCTGTGGACATGTGGCACAGCAGGCTGGGTTACACCACGGCAGGGTGTGGAAGGAAGACATGGCCCTATGTGCCGTAATGGATTCCTGCCAGCGCCTATCAGCACATCTGATTTAAGCAGACATTAGGGCAAATGAATCCATTTAGCCCCAATGACAGAATTACATTAGATTAACCTCTGTTTCGGCTGTCTGCGGTGCTCTTCTTAATTTCTTTCGAGCTGTCGATGAATGGCAAAGCTTGCTAAGCGCTCTGGGGCAAATATGTTAGAATCGCACAACATAAAAATAAATTGGAGTGAACTGAAAGAGAATTCCAGATGAACAGCACAGAGATTATCTGGTGGAGAAGAGGAGAAGGAGAGCGAGAGGAGAGTCAAGAGAGGGGGAAACAGAAAGATGGAAAGGGTGCCAGGACAGGGGGAAATGGAGAGAGACAGGAGAATGGACGACAGAGAGAGACAGGAGAGGGGAAATTCTGCGCCAGGAGATGCCAGAGAGGTCTGACTCACTGCAGTTTCTTTCGTCCGAGGCATCGGCACAGTCGATCATCTGATTGCACCACGCTGTGGCAGGAATGCAGGCCCCGTCCTGACAGCGTGCTTCGGAGGACGAGCACGTTGAATCTGTAGGAGGGATAAGCAATCAGCTGACTTCAGCTCTCCAATAAGATCTCAGTGCCCATGTTTGCTCTGGGAATAACTCGACCAAATGCCGTTAAATGCCACATGGGGATCTTTGAAAGAGCACTTTAAATAAATAAATGCATAAATCACACTAACTCTGCAGGCAAACTTATTTTCATATTCCTTCCCATTTCACGTCCTTTTAGCAATCATAATACCCAGCATTTCTTTCAAGGGAAGCTAATTAAGTTTTCACGTTAGTGATTAAGGAATCCCACTGCTGCTTAGCGGGGATTAGTGGTGTTTTTCAGGTTTCAGGAAGCTTAGGAACCTCGGATTTCTCTTTGGGCGATTCTTTGATTTCATGCAGTAGCCAGTGAAGGAAATAATATGGAAACCAGTCCAAAATGGGGACATCAAGAGAGGTTTAAATGGTCAACTTAGGCCTAAATAAAAGGCAGGATTACTTTGAGAATATCGATCTAGAGTCTCTTGAGGTGCTCTGCGCGTAAACGCAGCTAGCAAGACGGCCAGTTAATCCACGTGTACGTACTTCCAAGCATCTGTAGGGTGCCACGGTGTTGAGGAGAGAAGCCATGCTAATCTATGTGATCAACCAGGCTCAGCCATACAGTATGTTCACAGAGCTACAAATCCCACGTCTGGGACGAGATCCTGTTCTGTGACACGCATCTGTGGCCCAAATCCACAAAGCACATCCTCATTTCCCATGACAGCATGATTCCTCTGTTTATAATTCAATTCCAGTCGATGTTGCAGTTATATTTTATGGCAGCAGGTACAGTTAAGTTAACAAACTTCTGATCTGAAGGTTGTGGCTTTACATCCTCTGGAGAGCACTGCTATAGAGCAAAGCACTTATTTAATTTGGTCAAAAATCAGCTGCAGCAATAGGTAAATTTTTGTATGTTTATCAGAGTCAGCTAATTACTTAATTCATAATGAGCATAAATATTGACGAAGCCACGCTACGTCAGCAGAAAGACTGATTAGCACCAACTGTGTTTAGCATCTCATCACTATGGAGATCAGTGCACCCACACCATACTCCCTGCACGCACGTGACATCCCTAGGGAGCCCTGTGGATGGGGGAGTGAGGGGGGTGGGGTGGGGTGTAGAACCCGACCCGGCAGATCCTACTCAATAATCTCATCCTTCCCACCTGGAGCGAGCAGAACTTTCAGCAGCTACGACCCCCTTAGTGTGCAAAACCAACGAGGTATTTCATCACGACAGCAAAGCGGTAATCAGCGGTTACCCCCCACCCTGGACTGATGGGGGGTGCTCATATTATCTGCGTGTTCGTGATGGTGTCAGCTGGCAAGCAGTCAGTTCCAGGTCCGATGGTACTCAGCGGCACTCACTGCTACAGGACGCCTCGTCTGAGTCGTCGCCACAGTCGTCGAGGCCGTCGCAGAAGCGGCTGTGGGCCACGCAGTGCTGGTTGTAGCAGGCTCTGAAGCCTTTCCTGCAGGATCTGTTATCTGCTCCAAGCAGAGGGGAAGAAAAGCAAAACAATAACATGAAAAATGATGGAGATGAAGAGGGGAGCACTTCCATGGAATCACGGTGGCTGAATGCCCCCATCCTGCGGCCACAAGCAGAATGAGCGTAACCTGATTTTATTAGGCGGGGCTCAGGGAGGAGGTCGCTGGCCTGACCCTCACAGAAATCTCCCTCCATAGGTCACAGAAGGTCAGTGGGGCTGATGAAGTCCTTACCGCAGTACTGCATTTTCTCATCCGACTTGTCTTTACAGTGAGCTATTCCATCACATGTGAACTGATAGTCGATGCACTCGCCATTGCTGCATTCAAACTCTGTGTGGATGTCACAGGAAGAGTTCCTGGCTGGAAATAGGAAATACAAAAGTTTGAGATGGGTTATGGCTATGTCCATGGCAGGTTACCCCCCCCCC